CTTTATATAACACTAAAAAATATTAAAAATGGTATAAATTATTTAGGAATACTTTCCTGTGAGGTAAAACTATAAAGATATGTTCAACTGCATTGCTAAGAGTCTATTTCTTAAGCTGGTTGGTGGCTACACAGGTATTTGTGACTTGAGACCTGAGTCCTTCAAGTGTCAGAACAGAGCATGACTCAAATATGAAGAATTCAAAAGGAACATGCATAACCATTTCTTAGGAGAAGAGGTGTTAACAGGGATGCAGTCAAGTTCAGAAAGAAAATCCATCAGGACAGACAGGAGTGCCTTGGCATAACTCAGTGAACAAAGCAGGGTCCACCGAGGCAGGGAGAAGGCCACCACTGACCACGACAACAGGGCAGCCAGGGGCCAGGTGGGCAGAGGGCACCAAGCCTCAGGCCCTGCTGTCAGGAGGAGGTACAGTAGCCAGCCTCTGAAGTCAACAGAAACAAGTACAACCACCCAAAGTTCCAATCACACTCACAGACACTGTCTGAACACACTTCTGTCCTCACCCACAGGTCCATCAAAACCACCTGATCATAGCCCAAAATATCCTTAACTCATGAAGAATGAAGCCATTGAACCAGCCAGCCACTACCTTGCCAGAGTCTTCGTGAATATTTGGGGCCTTAATTTACAGTTACAATCATATTGGTGGTAGAGCTATTTTTTCCTTCCAAAAGTAATCAGAAAGACTACCAAATTATGCTTAATAGGAAAAAAAAAAACTTCATAGAATCTCCAGAGAAGTCCTCAAAAATATGTTTCTACTCATACTGCTCTCTCAAAGGTTATAAATGCCCACCCCGGCTGGTTTGGCTCAGCAGTTAGAGTGTCGGCCCACAGACCAAAGAGTCGTGGGTTCGATTCTGGTCAAGGGCATGTACCTCGGTTGCAGTTCGGTCCCCAACCCTGGTAGGGGTCATGTGGGAAGGTAGCCAGTCAATGTCTCTCTCCCTCTCTCCCTCTCTCTCTCTCCCCCTCCCTCTCTATCTGAAGATAAAAGGAAAAAAATATCCTCAGGTGAGGATTAAAAAAAGAAGGGTTATAAATGCCCAACCTGAAGAGGTAAACCACTGAAATAATCAAAGTGACTGTTCTCATCCACAACAATAAAGAAGCGACAGGTGTCTCTTCACCCCATACCGCCTCGTGTCCTGTCACTAAGCAGACTTCATCAACATACAGGGCAGGACAGAAGTCACTTTGCAGAGCAACTGTGACAGGAAGACATAATGAACTTGGAATACAAGGGTCAGAATACAAGTTTCATTTTCCCACACAAGCTGGCACACACACATGCTTCTGTGCACTGAGTTGAACACAGCACCTCAGTCTTCTGTCTCCCTTTGGACCACTCTGAATCAAACTGCTGTTTTCTCCCTCTCCCTCTGTTCCTTTCTCCACCTCTCTTCCAGAGGAAGAGATCATTCTAATCTCCCTGAGGACTGAGGTAGCCTAGGACGACAGAGGCTACTACGAGTTGAATTCCAGTCTGGGGTGACCCTGAGGTCCAAACATGGACTCTGGGACCATTCCAAAACCAACCCGAACTTCTAATCTCCTAGGTGTCCTCCAAATGAAGACTGGTCTGACTGGTCCAGAGATGAGACCTGTGATGGGTCCTCTACCACACCCAGTGCAGACATAAGTGCTAACGTAATAGACTCTGGAGGAATAAGCTGGTATTCGTCTTAAAAATTCCCAGCAAATCTTTCAGAAAACAAGCACTTGCCTCTTATAGCAGCCCAATAATTTGGTAGATACAGTTTTAAGAGCCTCTATCTAGACCTAAAGCACCCAGGATCATAATGCCTAGGGTACCAAGACAGGTGACAATGATCAACCTTGCAAAATACAAAATAAAAGGTAAAAGATTTTAGGACAGGTCAGGCTACCCAGAACTCAGCCCTCACTCTGTGCCTTACAATGAAGTGGGAGCTCCTCTGTGAGGGGGATAGCATCAGATTAATGACTTTTCCACAGAAGACTCCAGGATCCTAAGGGCACACACACCAAATCTTAACGTGCTCGCCCAAGTTTCGTTTGTCTGCACCAGCATCAAGACCTTCACCAGAGCAGGTCCAACCTTGAGATACTTCTATTCCAGGCTAGTTCCAGCATTAATAGGCCCCTGGAGATCGTCATCTGTGACTCAAGCACCCCATGGCCTAAGCAAAGGTTGCTAAGAAAAGAAAGGTCTCCAAGTCGGAAGTAGCATCCAGGCACCACAGCATGAGGTGTAGACCATCCACTGTCACCTGCGGGGGAAGAAGAAAAGCGTCCCCCAATATCACCTGGGGGTTTCTCCCAGCAAGCCAAGATGATAATCCACAGCTGGTCAAGGGGCCAGGGCTAAGGGAAGAGAGAGAAAGGAAGCGATGATCCTGATAATTCATGTCATGCTTGTGTAACAGATGGCTATTTTAACTAAGTCACTCAGATAATTGTACCACTATCCATTTCACGGGACAATCAGTGATGAAGTAGGCTGTCCAGCACACTGAGAATGATCTTTATGTACCTAAGAGTTCTTCAGGCCAGAGTCTGTGAGCCAATAAAGGCCCCTTTCTTGATTCACACAAAGAGATGGTTTCTCAACAGAGGCTGGTTTGAGCTACAATCTCCCAGCAGCTTCATCTTTAGCTGGATTTGTCTCATGTTGACCAAACCTGTTCAACCCAAGTCATCGCCAGTCACGTAAGGAGGGAGGGACGCCTACACCGTGGGCCCTCAGTGTCTGTGGAGGTCTGCTTCAGGCCCGCCTCAGATACCAAAGTCTGAGGACACTCAGCTCCCTAGTCAGCCCTCAGGATCCACGGATACGGAGAGCCAGCTCTACTGCATTTGTAGGTGTTTTTGTTGTTTTCTTTAAATCCACAGCTGGCATTTCCTTCCAATCCTATGTGAGGAGATTACTGAATGTGAAGAGCATTTTCTTTTTATCCTCACTCGAGGACATTTATCCATTTTTTGTTCGGATAGAGTGGGAGGGAGAGAGAGGAACAGAGAGAGAGAGAGAAACATCGATGTGAAAGGAACACATCGAGTGGCTACCACCCACACGACCAACCAGGGCTGGGGACAAACTGCGACTGAGGTGCGCGCCACTAGAGGGAACCGAACCCGGGTCTCTCTGGACCGCAGGCCGACGCTCTAACCGCTGAGCCAAACCGGCCAAGGCGTGAAGTGCATATTAACTCAGAGAAGCTCCACTTCTCTGGGTGGGAGTCCAGAGAGAGGGAGAGGCACCAAGGTCAGTGTTGGGAGAAGGGATCAGAGATGAGGTGACCGGTATGGGAGAGAGGTCTACCAGGAGGGACCTCAGGGCCGCTGCTTCTCTCATGGGCCATTAAAATGCATGTGGTAAGGACCGGACCCCACTAGGAGAGCCTCCTTAAATGAAGCGGGGCTGCTGAGCGGTGCTAAGAAATGTGCTCCCACAGAACAGGGGCTCGATCAAGGAACACGTGGACTAGAGAGCTGGTTCTCCTCTGCCCGCTGTGCGCACAGGAGTTTCTCCCAGGATCCAGGTCTGTCTCCTTACCATCCCTGTAGGCTGGAATTTAAAGTAACGAGTAGAGCCTACTAGCATCTATCTCATTCCTATTCAGCTCCTTCTCAGGTGGGATAGAAAGCTCTGAAATGTTAAGTCTGAAAAGTTCATACCCCACTCTCCTTTCTGATCTTGCCCAGGTGACAGCTTTCTGCGTTTCAGATGCCTCATCTGTAAAATGGGAATAACAACACTACCCACCACATCTACTTCCAGGATCACTGCTGAGATTCACAGAACGTGACACGTAAGAAATAGTTCCAGGCAGCAAAGGACTGGATGAGTGCTGGTTGCTACCTCAGGAGCGCTGTTCTGAGCAGGAAAGAAAGGACACCAATGGGATGAAGAGAAGAGGTTCTGCCACCTGACGAAGAAGGGCTGTGAGCATGGTGAGGAGTAATTTTCAGCCGTCAGCCTAACACTGAGGGGCGTGGGTGACCCGAGATTGACTTATTATTTAAAAGTCAGTTCTCATCTGGCTGGTGAGGCTCAGTGGTTGAGCGTTGACCCTGCACCAAGAGGTTGCCCATCGATTCCCGGTCAGGGCACAGGCCCAGGTTGTGGGCCCCACCGCCAGTGGGGGGCGTGCGGCCTATCTATGTTCTCTCTCGTGGATGTTTCTCTCTCTCTCCCTCTCCCTCTCCCTTCCTCTCTCCCTAAAATCAATAAAGAAAAAAAAAAAAATCAGTTCTCATGCCAACACATTCACTTTGCACGATGGCAGGAGGAGAAAAATAAGAGAGACGAAGAGTGGGTGCCCAGGGCTCAGCTCGCCAAAATAACCACGAAGTTCCACCTAGGGGGAGGGTGGAGCTAGCTGGACGGTCGTGCAGGCAGAACATTGTTGCATAAGACGACGGCAGCGAAGGTGTTGCCACCAGGCCCAGAAGTGCGCTGCAGCTACATCCGGGCGTGCGATGTCTACAGAAGGCTGCGTGAACGGAGAACGAGAAAGGAAGAGGGTCCATTCCGTTGCATCAAACAAACCTAAGGGACTCGGGAGGCCGGCTCCCCGCGGGAGGCCCCAGGGGGGTGGCGCTGCCGGGAAGGGGGAGAGGCACCCACAGCACGAGGTCAGGGAGCTGCAGGCTGAACCACAAACCAGCGGGACGAGAGGTCCGTTCCCGGGGTCCTGCTTCGCTCCCCCGCGCGGGGACCCGGCGCCCGCACACCGGCTGGCTGAGTCCCCGGGAAGGGACCTGACGGACGCGCGAGGGCACGGTGCGCGCGCACCGAAGCATCGACAGCGACAAGCCGGGACCAAGTCCCCAGTAACCATGACAACCCGAGGAGGTGGAGGGAAATCCAAACCCGGGCCGGGCGGGGACCCTGCAGGTTCGCGTGCAGGCCGGGCGGGCAGAGGCGGGCTCGCGGGGCGGCTGTCAGCGGACGTGGCCCCGCGCCCCGCGCCCCGCGCCCCGCGGGTTACCTGGTGCAGGGCGGTCAGGCCGTCCACGTTGGCCGTGTTGATGTCGGCCCCTCTGGCCAGAAGCCTCTTCACCTCGTCGGTGTCCCCGCTCGAGCAGGCGGCCAGGAAGACCGCGCCGTCCTCGAAGCGGACCCGGGGGGCCCCGCGGCGGGTGCGCGGCTGCCGCTCGGCGGGCTCCTGCTCGGTCTGAGAGCCCCGCCAGCGCCGCAGCTGCTCCGCCCGCCGCACGCGCGCCGACTCGGCCCGCTTCCCGCCCAGGTGCTCCAGCTCGGCCATCGCTCGGGCCGGCGGCCGCGGCCGCACTGCCGCCACCAGACCGCTGCCGCTCGGGTGGCCGCCGCCGCCGCCTCCCTCAGAGCGCGTCAGCCGGGAGCAGAAGGCGGAGACCCGCGTGCCGCCATCTTTACTTCTCCGTCGCCTGCGCCGCCCGCACGCTTCTCCGGCTTCAGCACGCAGGCGCGCCGCGGCCCCGGAGCATCACGGGACTTGTAGTCGGAGACCGGCCCCAGGGGCGCCCCGTGGCCTTCAGGGAACTACAAGTCCCTGGATGCATCAAGAAAGGGGCGAGAACCGGCTGCTCCCTACTTCGCCGCGGGACCCAGCGGGGTCACCTTTGCCCCAAAGCTAGGAGTGATTCCCGGACCCGTGGCAGCCTCTTTGGGCATTTTGGGAATCGTAGTTCATTCTTGTTTTACTTACCAAGTAATCTTGGCTCCCTAATTATCACACCAGTTCTTTGAAGTGGGAAAGAGGCAGTAATTATACCTATTTTCTATTGGGGAAGACTAAAGTACCTGGCTCTAAATCCAGAGTTTTATGAACATTATAACGTGTAATACGTTTACTTGTATTAATCACTGAGTGTCAGTGTGCGTGAGGAGAAGGAGCATGCACACGTTATACACAAACACATTGAACATGACACTTATTTCTAGGTCTGGAAAAGATCCTGGAAAGGATGCATCCAGGTAGCGGGATAAGCTTTTAATTCAAATGGAATTCACAGTCCTAGATAAATTAGTTGACTTCTCCCAGACTGTTCCTTATTTTTAGAATGGAAATGATGATGCCTCACCGTATCCATGTGGATCAGATAATAATATATGGAAGAATACTATCCCTGGCATAGATCAACTCACAAGATGTATTAAATTCCCTTCATTCTCCCTCCTCTTCCTCTACCCTTTTTATGAATCTTAAATTCTCAGGAGACAGAATGGATGTCTGGTCTTCTGTGATTTCCGCCCCGCCCCCCCAAAGCTACAAAAAGACACCGTGGAGCATACTACTAAACTCCTAAGGCAGCAAATTGGACATTTTCATATTCACAGTGAACTTGGTTATAAAACCTGTCAGATTGATGTAATAACTATACCCCCCAGGACCTTAGCCCTGGACAAAATTAATTAAATATATTATCCATAATGAAAGAGAACATAGACAATTACAAGGTTCTTCAAACTTTTCAGTATGCTTAAAATTTTTCATTTAAAAATGTTGCAAAAATGATTGGGTCATTGTAAAGGGAAACTTTATTATATCCCATCATGTGAACAATTTCCCAAGATGAACTGAGATTCAAATGAAGTTACACGTAAATGTAAAATAGTTTAATAATACTATGTCAATCAACAATATGCTTTAATTAGGTATTCTTAAATACTTTATAAATACTAATTAAGTCCTACAGCATCTTTATGAACTGTAAATTATATTATTTTCCTTGCTCTGTGTGTTTTCAGTCACCATAGAACTTGTCATGCCTCAGCATCTATTGCAATTAAAAATTCTTTGTGAGCCCAGCCACTGTGGCTGAGTGGTTGAGCATGGACCCATGTACCAAGAGGTCACTGGTTTGATTCCCAATCAGGGCACATGCCTGGGGTAGTGGGTTCAATCCCCAGTAGGGGGCATGCAGGAGGCAGCCCATCTCACATTGATGTTTCTATCTTTCTCCCTCTCCCTTCCTCTCTCTCTAAAAGTCAATTAAAATAAATATATATATATGTATATTTAATCCTCACTCGAGGATATTTTTCCTTTTATTTTCAGATAGAGTGTGTGTGGGGGGGGTGGACATCAATGTGAGACAGATATATCGATTGGTTGCCTCCCCCATGACCCTGATCAGGGCTGGGGACCCAACTGAAACCAAGGAATGTGCCCTTAACCAGATTCGAACCCGAGACTCTTCAGTCGGCAGGCCGACGCTCTAACTGCTGAGCCAAACCAGCCAGGGCAATAAAAAAAATATTTTAAAAAAATTCTGTGTGAGATTTACTTTATAACTTGTCAACATGCAACCTCTTCTTATTCCAACTCAGCCTTTCTAGCTGATAATTAAAATTGCCCACAAACTCTCAATAAAACTTTCCTTACAGGATAAAACAAACAAACAAACAAAAACACTGACATTAAAGCAGATAGGAAAGACGCCTAACAGGTAGAAGAAGCCTAACCCTCTTCAAGAAATCATTATTAGCTAAATTGCCAATCTGGTAAGGAAGCCAAAAAGTGAGGAGGGGCAAGGTTTTGGCATAACGCAAATTGCTGAAATCTCAGGAGGCACATCTGACAACAATCCAAGTACACTGTTTTAATACTATGCTCCTGGTACACAACCGCTGCTCAAAAAAAGTATGTATAATTAAACTGTATATTTTATCCTGGTTTTCTAAAAAAATTTTAATGGTGTACATTTTCAGGGATCGATAATGTTACATTTCTTTGGCTATATTCTTTTCACATTCAAAATCAGGAAAAAAGAGATATCTGTTCCCGGTTGTATAAATAAGCTAAAATTGGTCAAGACTAAGTTAAATCCTTACTTTCCCAAAAGGTATGAACTTAAATTTCAACAGGGAGGATTCAGTCTCAATACCTGGAAGTTTCAGGAACTACTTACTCCCTTACATGTCTATTTTATTTGCCACCCCTCACCCCACCAGGTAGTGATAGAGTAAGACCCTCTTTGGATATTTTATTTTTATTTTTTTAATCCTCACCGGAGGACATTTTTGCAGATACAGCAGGAGGGAGAGAGAGAAACATCTACTGAGAGAGACACATGACTGGCTGCTACCCACACAACCCCAACCAGCTGGGAGACAAACCCAATCGAAGTACATGCCCTTAGCAGGAACCGAACCCCTCCACAGGTGGACGCTCTAATCGCTGAGCCAAACTGGCCAAGGCCTCTTTGGGTATTTTATATAAAAATAAGTAGCTAAGTTCCTTGGATAGTTTAAGTGGATACCTGGAAAGGGAGGAATGTCTTCCGGCTATGTGGTTATGGAAAGCAGCACTAATTATCTTAATCTAATTAGTTTAACTGCCGTTCCAGCCAAAAAGAAGTTATGCCACAAATATATAATGGCTTGAAAAGTTTTTCAAAATTAACGTCATATCAGTTTTTTTCTGAACATTTTCCCCCAACTGGGACTCTCTAAGAGTGAACTTATATAATCAGTTCATTAAACAAACATGATAGTTTGGAGATACTAAATATTCTTCCCTAAAGAAAATATATTTTATATACAAATGATTAAATCTTGACAAACAATCCTGTGTATACATAAAATGTAATTTTTGTATATTTAAACGTAGAGTTGGCTATGATGCATATATATTCTTGTATAAAGACACTTTTAAGTAATTTCCCACATATACACTATACAAAGTAAATGACAATGTTAGAATACTCCGTCTTTAAAAGAAAGAACGCGTGTACCTACAGTTCCTGAAATCTTTCAGCCTGGCCTCTATTCCCACTAGTTAGCACACCTCCCTCTGGTGGACAAACGGACACTGTACAGTTAACCCGTGCGGTGCTTCCACTGTTCTATCCAATCCGTTCCGTTGGATTGCCAAAACCACAGGTATTTGCTCGTTTTCTCACGCCATCCCTCCTCTCTACAGTTCCCGCTTTTTCTAAGAGACATTTTAAAGTCACTTTTCAAAGAGAACCACCCAGGAGGAAATTCATTTCGGTTCTGAAGACGCAGCTGTCACTGAGATACATGGACGGCTAGGGTAGGAAGAGAAAAAGACAAGACAGGATGTGTTAAAGCAGAAAACACCAGTATTAAAATAAGCAGCCAACTCCAGAACGATGGCCAAGCACCACCACAAAGAGGAAAAACCGGCCCTACACGCAGGACGCCAACAGCTAACGGGGAGACTGGGCAGGACTCCCCGTGTTTGTCCTTCACCAGCCATGTTCGCCGCTTCATTCCCACGACCAGTGTGAGGGTCCCCGGGGCGGGATCTGGACAGAGCCCTGCGTGGGGGTCTCGGAAGAGAGCACATACCATGCGGCGGCCTCGGGGACCCCCATGCGGACTAAGTGCAGAAGCCACCGCAGCGGTCACAGTACTGGCTGGCGGGCCACCTCTCCCGTGGCACCGCTGTCCCCAAGCCCACAGTGAGCGGAGAGCAGTGAGATGGGGGCCCGGGGGTGGGGGTGGAGCGGGAGGCCGGTGTCCCCATCTATCAGTGCACCAGGTGTGGGCCTTCGCCCGGGCGGTGTAGGTGCCCCAGGTGCTCCCGGGTCAGCACCCACGCTTCCGGGCCGGAAGGCGGTTCGGAGTGCTGTCCCGACTCCTGCCCGGCCAGGACCCGTCTCCGCAGCCCGCCCGTTCGGTTCCGAGTCCTAACCAATCGCTGGGCTCAGTCGGGACCCTTGACGTCGCAGACGCGCCCTCCAGGTCACGAGAAATACCGGGCGGCCTGCTGCACATCGCATCTTCCTGCTCCCTTCACTGTCCTTCCGGGGGCTCGTTTCCAGCGCCTTCGCCGTTCGGACCACAGAGCCGGCCGGGTGACCCGCCTCTCGGCCGCAGTGGCCCAGGTGCCCTGCTCAGAGGAGCCCGCGCCGGACGTGAGCCCGCAGGGCCGCGCGCTCCCAGTTAAACCCGTGAGCTCAGAGCGCGGGCCAATGGGCGGCTGCGCTCGACTCCCTTCCTCGCTGCGGGCCAATCGCAACCCGCGCCGGGCGGGAGGCGGGGCGACGCCCACCTCGGCTCGCGCATGCGCGGGTGGCGGCAGGTCTGCGGGCTGGCGCGCTGTGAGGTGGTCCGTGCGCGTAAGCGAGGAGCTGGTATCGGGTCCCCGCGGGGCCCCGCGGGTGTGGGGGGCGTCCCGCCCCTGGGAGACGTGGGGGTTCCCTCCGGGGAGGGGCTCTCGCGGTCGGGCGGTCGGGAAGCGGGCGGGCGGACCGAGAAACCGCCGAACCGGACGGGGACCCGCCCTGTGACCCGCCGCGCGACAGCCTGTCGGAGCTCACGGCGGAGCCGGCGCGCAGGCGGGGCCGGGGCCGGGTCCCTGCCGGGGCGGCGCTGCCCGGGCGCGCGGGTCCGCGGGGGGCGGGGCGGGGCCACACTCCAGTCCGAGCGGACGCAGGCGGGGTGCGGGGCCCCCCGGAGAGAGCCCCGCCCGCTGGTGTCCCCGCCTGCGCGCCGCGTCCCGGATAAGGTGCACGTGCACTTGTTTCTTTGGGCGCTTAGTTTATTGCACTCAGTGTCCACCTACGGAGAAAAAGTAGTGAAACCGGGCAGTACAAGGTGTCAAAGGTGAAGCTGCCAGCCGCCAGGCGACCCGCGCAGGGATGGTGGGCGCACGGGCGAGGACGCTGTAGTTGGAGGAAGTGGTTGGAGGAAGAACGCAGGTGGCCGGCTGTCGCCGAGCAACGGGTCCACCGGTGGCGTCCGTACTTCTAAGTCTTTCGGGAAGACGGGGCTGGAGCAGGTGCCTGGAGGTTAGAAAAGGGCCACAGACCACTCGGCCTTTGCGGCACAGGTCACAGCGAGCCCTGACCCGCCCAGGCCACCAACAGTCCCTTTCACATACCCTGGGTGACACAGATGCTCAGTCTGAGTTCACGACCATCATCAGTTACCACCACCTGACTATCCTTCATTTCCACGTACAGATAACTTAGGGACAGGCTGTGTGGAATTAAAATTGTTACTGTCTTTTCACAGATTAATAAATCGACCTTTTAATTAATGTTGCAGTCATTGTGAGTGAGCCTGGCATGAGCTGGTCCATCTAAACCCTATCGAACCGGGGTTTACTGCCACACTGAGTTACGAGACTACAAAACTGAGAACCGGAGCCTGAAGTGTCCACAGAAGGCCTGGCTTAAAAAGTGACATTGTTTTCATAACATCCCCACTTGATCTCTCACTGTTTATTTGAAAACATTTATTAAGCCAGATAGTCACTTAACAAAAAAGAAAGAAAACTGAAAATGTGCCCTCAAAGCACTTTCTGTCCAACAGAAGAAAAGTTATTAATTACGTGTAGAGCGTCATGGATCTTTGACATTTAGACGGGCTCTCTCTTGAGATCTTTTTGAATCTTCAAACTCACTGTAGAATTTACTTTTCGTCATAAAATACTGTAAAATGTAATTTGGAAATGTCAGGGATTCAGATCCTCAGTGATACTACCAATGCAAGATCTGAAGTCATATATTATTAAAACAAATCTACATTTTGTTTACTCTTCAGCTGACAGGCATTTGGGTTGTTTGCATTTCTGGACTGTTGTGGATGCTGCTGCTATGAACATCCGTGTGCAGGGTTTTGTGTGCACATGTTTTCAGTTCTCTGGAGTATAAACCTAGGCGTGGGACCACAGGCTCATCAGGCAGTGGATGTTAAATAAACGTTGGGAGGGGCTGGCAGACTGTTTTCCAAATCGGCTGTGTCATTTTGCATTCCCGCCAGCGACGGAAGGGTTCCGTTTCTCCACATCCTCCCCAACATTTAGATGTTATCGCTGTGATTATAGTTATCCTAGTGCTGTGAAGTACGTCATTGTGGTTTCCACTGGCATTTCCCTAGTGACTGATGATGTCGGGCGTCTTCATAGCTGTCAGCTTTTAATCCACTTTGTACTGGAAGTTATAGATGGAATAGGAGGGAAGAGCAGGATCAGAGGGGAGGAGTAAACTGTTTATTTGTGGATTGGCTCTGTGGAGGTTCCAGCCCCACCCCGCCACCCAAGTAGAATCATCATTAGTACCGTTACGGTTTCAGTTAAAAATTATTGTATTTACGTACACCTCAGACCGTGAAGCACCAGCTTATAAATACCTCAGAGTGAGGACCCCATGTCATCATCCTTGCTCCTCCCACAGCTAATGTGTGGGTCCCAGTCTGTGCCAGGCATGCTGACGGTGCAAGCAAGATGAGACCCAGGCTCTGCCTCGGGAGTTTATAATTTATCAGTGGAGACACATTATTATAATTTTTCTTTATTGATTTTAGAGAGAGAGGAAGGGAGAGGGAGAGAGAGATGGAAACATCAATGAGAGAGAACATCAAGTGGCTGCCTCCTGCACCCCGCCCACTGGGGATTCGGCCCACAACCTGGGCTTGTGCCCTGACCGGGAATTGAACCGGCGTCCTCTTGGTGCACGGGTTGATGCTCAACCACTGAGCCACACCGGCCGGGCAAGCGACACATCAATTTAAAACACCTAGTGTTTTTGTTTCTAGCTAGAACTTTTTGCATCTTTTCTACTTTATTTTTAAAGTGTGTTTGCTTGAGTAGATAACGAAGAAAAAACTCAGACTCCCATTTGGAAATAGGGGCTCATATGAGGAGTCTGTCTGTCCTTCCTAAGCTGAAACCATGAGTTAAAAACCCCCAGTCACTATTCTAACTGTATCGCTGTTGCCCGCTCTCTCCTAGTGAGTCCCACCCAGCTTTTAGTGTGGCGAGGGAACTGAGTGGGGCTCCCGTTACGGGGCATCATGCAGAGAGCTTCACGTCTGAAGAGAGAGCTGAGCCTGTTGGCCTCTGAGCCACCCCCCGGCATCACGTGCTGGCAGGAAGCGGGCCAGATGGGGGATCTGCGAGCACGTAGGTATCCCGTGTTGAGACGACCCCTGACCCTGCCGAAGGCTGTGCTGAAATTCAGACATTTGTCTCCTCAGATGGGGAACAGTCACGATGTCAGAGTGCCGCCGTTTTTCTACCCTAGTTTGTTCACGTCTGTGAAAGTGCGGCTGGCGTTTCTTCTTTGCCCTTTGTTATGCCTTTTGCTGCTTTGCAGCCAGGAGCTGGCATCAGCCCTGATGCGGTGTTCAGGCCAGAGATCAGCATCTCGATGCCTTTGAGCGCAGACAGGAAACACGTGACTGAGCACTGTGGTCCAGATGAGGCAGATCTGCAGGTTGCATTCGATCTGTGCCAGTGTTTTCCGGCTTTTTTTTCTTAATGTAATCCTCACCTGAGGACATGTTTATTGATTTTAGAGAGAGGAGAGGGACGGAGAGAAACATCAATGTGAGAAAACATTGATTGGTTGCCTCCTGTGCGCCCTGACTGGGGATCGACCCCGCAGCCTTCTGGTGTACGGGGGCGACGGTCCAACCAACTGAGCCACCTGGCCAGGACTCCCAGCTTGTTTTGACCTTCTGTGTGTCCTTAGTTGGACACCACCACCTTTTGGGCACATGGTGCATTGTATGAGGAAGGGGTAGAGCCCAGAGAGCATTACTGTCCTTGACCCAGCCTCTCTGCAGGACCCTGGATGGCGTGGGTCTGCATGGTGTGGTGATTCAGATCACCCGATTACCGCTTAACTTCTTTTCCTTTTTCCTTTTAAGAAATAATAGGTGGGGCCAACACACCTTATGAAAAAGGTGTATTCACGCTGGAAGTGATTATTCCTGAGCGGTGAGTGTGAATTGGGTTCTGAACCTACAGGGTGAAGCACAGTTATTGGAAGACCGAGCAACATAGGAGTCAGGGGCCTGGATTTTCATCCTGATCTAACAGGATTTAATGCTGAAGCAGTTAGACAGGAAGTGGCCCAATCCAGGTGGTTGGGTATACGAGTGTTTAAATGCTCTTATTTCAACTCTTCTACGGTTTGTACATTTTCATCCTAGAAATCTGGGGGAGAAAAGGTTAGCCTCTCAAAGCCTGTCTTCCAGAGCCGTCACAGGAAGCTCTTTGTAATGTATTAAGCGGCAGGATTTTAATAAAATGTCTGTTGTCCTGTGCTTTCAAAGGTACCCATTTGAACCTCCTCAGATCCGGTTTCTGACTCCAATCTATCATCCCAACATCGATTCTGCTGGAAGGATTTGCCTGGATATTCTCAAGTTGCCGCCCAAAGTGAGTGGTGAGGAAGGGTGACTGCAGTGCTCTGTGGCCGTCAGGTAGGCACACTCCCACTGCTCGGTCACAGCGCAGCTGCGGTCTGTGTGCAGGGCGCCTGGAGACCATCTCTCAGCATCGCCACGGCCTTGGCTTCTATTCAGCTGCTCATGTCAGAGCCCAACCCGGACGACCCGCTCATGGCTGACATCGTGAGTGTCCTCGTGCCCTCTCTGGACCTCTCACCCTGCCAGTTAGCAGCTGAGCGGCTGGCGCTCACCACTGATCCCTCTTCTCTCCACTGACTCTTTGCTTTGGTTTTGTCTCAGTCCGCAGAGTTTAAATATAATAAGCCTGTCTTCCTCAAGAATGCCCGGCAGTGGACAGAGAAGCATGCAAGACAGAGACAGAAGGTGTGTTTAACAGCTCTGGTCTCTACCGTCGTCGTCCTCAGTGGGTCTGTGTTAGTGGGTCTGTGTTAGAGGTGTGTCGACCAACAGTTGTCACCGATTGACAACACTAGAGGGCAGGCAGCCTCTGGGTGGTTTACATTCTTGGGGGCCGCTCGGGTAGATGAGAGGTGACTCAGATTCTTTTTGCTAAGATTTCTTTTTAACGCGGAGGAGGGACTGTTACAGGAATCGGGAAAGGCGAAGGGGACGGAGGGAGGGAAATCAGCTTTCTATGGGACCATTTGCCGCAGCAGGAAAACTTCCCCAGTATAGGTGGAGTTTCCTCAGTTCACAAAGTGCAAACACAAGAGTCAGGAACGAGCATGTTCTAGTTCTTGCCGAGTCACAATGTCCTTGAGGTCGAGCTGAGTAGCAGTTAGTGTTACGTGTGGAAAGAAAGAACTGAAACAGACGTTGAGGACGATGCTGGTGGAGGGAATATCGTGTGTAGGAGGCGCAAGCAGTGCTTGGAGGTGATAGCATCAGGCTCTGCTCTTGTCCCGGTGCTGGCGTGAACCTGGGGTTTTACTCCACAGGGTGACGAGGAAGAGCTGGCTGGAGACTTCCTGGCGGCTGGTGACCCAGAAGCGCACAGCACAGCGCAGAAGAGGAAGGCCGGGCAGCCGGGAGGCACCGAAAAGAAATTCTGCCCTGGCGTCTAGGGCTTTGCCCGGGTTTGTCTTAGTCACCGTGGTCTCTGTCGGGATGGCCTGGTTTGCCTGCCTTTTAAATGTGTTCTTTGTATCTCATGACAGTATCATTGTTGTGCCTTATAAAACAGACCTTATATATTTATAGATTTCACTCATATTGATTCTCTAAATGGAGTTTGTTTTATTTAGTTTGTACATATGTATTTTGAAACCTTTTAACCTGAAAAATAAATAATCGTTTAACGTTGAGTGTGTGTATCCTGAATGTGTGTCTGGGAGCAAACTGGCCAGAGACCTACACAGTGAGAATGTCGAAATAGCTAGAATTGTCCTGTGTTTGCCAGCTCACCAGCACGAGGGCCCTGGATGGTTGGTCTAGATGTACAATAGCTGCGAGCAACATTTCAGGTACACCAGGCCTCGGGTTTTGGGATGCAGAAGTCCTCACACCACGTGACGTCAGGTGACCTCGCTTTGTTCACCGTGAGTCACACGGCTGGTCGGGTACAGTGGTGTTGCTTTCGTTTGCTCAGCAGGTGTTTACTGAACACCTACTGCGTGCCCAGCTCTGTGCTAGTGTCTTGGAGTACAACAGCAGGAAATCAGACGTGGATGAAGTAATCGTACAAGTTCAGGGAGTTTTTCAACCCCTTCCTGTCCCTGGCTCAGAACAGCTCAGTGCCAAGCCCGCATGCCCTCCTCGGGGTTGTAGAGCCCACGCAGGCTTGTCCTTGTTCTGTTAGGTGACAGAGAGCACAGACCCGGCAGAAATCAGTGAAGTGGAAAGAGGTTGCCCATGCTGAGCGAAAGGCCCTCCGAGGAAGGAAGATGCCAGCGCTGCAGCCTCCCTGTCTGTCCCGGCGCAGTGACTAGGCTGCGGGGGGCGCCGGCACGGAAAATGTGTCTGAATAGGCCGTTCCTGTGAGTCACGTGGTCCCCCCGCCTCCCTAGAACACCCATGGCATTGCAGTCACGGCCTGGAGACAAGGACGCGGATTCATGTCCATCAACCACAGAGGGTGGCAAAAACCGAAACACAGGTCCCCACACACCCCCATGTCCTCAGTCCCCAGCTTCTGCAGGACCCTTGACCCACTCTGTCCTTGCTCAAAGCCCAGGGCTTCTTTTGCGCTGGGCTTGTTTCCTCCACTTGTCCATACTGAAGTTCAAGTTGGGGTTCCCAGACTCATCAGTAAGCCAGTTGGGGTGCTCTCCGGAGTTGTGGACGAGAGGTGTTCTTTGCCTTAAAGGGAAGTCCAGGGCAGCGTGAGCATCTGGACTGGGGTGGGGTCAGACTCAACCCTGCTGTCTTTCCACCTGCCGTCCGCAGTGGAGGCTCCGTCAGGGGGTCTGCCCCTCCCGTGAGCACAGCACCAGTCGGTCACGAAGTCCCTTACATCCACAGACCACGGCGAAGTGCCCGTGACTGGACCGCCCTGAAGCCGACTGCGGTGGCCTGGGAGCTCGGATGTGCCGGGAGAGGGACTCAGCGCAAGAGCACCTCCTACAGGACAACCCCACACCGGAGAAGTCCTGTCAGCCCTCCAGCCGCTGCCCTGCCTCCCCCTCAACACCAGCTCCCGCCGCTGCCTCCGCTCCCTCGCACGGTCACAGCCGTGACCTTGTGTGTTGTCCCCCCCTGACCCTCAGTAGTCCATGCTTCTCACGGCCACAGGAATGATCTTTTGATGATGTAAAAGCCAGATTTTACTTCCCTCCTGAACGTCTTCCGAGTGGCTTCCTGCCCCGGCCTGCAGGGCCCTGGCCCCGTCCCTGCCCCTGCTTGTGGGTCCTGTCCGTCCACCCTGACAGCAGCTGCCACCCCTCGCGCCTGAGTACCCACCCTGAGCGCACCTGGCTGTCCGGCCTCAGCACCTTCACAGAAGCTGTCCCCGCTGCCTTCCTGCTCCAGGATGGTCTCGGCTCAAAGGCGCTGCCCCAGAGTGTCCTTGTCTGTCCCGTTTGAAGGGGGACCTGCAGCCCCAGGCACTCCGGCCCTCAGCCCCTCCCGGGATCGGTTTCACTCTGGGTCTGAGCACACTGGCTCCCAACGTGGGGGACCAGGGACGGAGGCTTCAGAGACCTGGCTCTCTAAGTGCTGCACAGCAGGAGGCCACCCACCGCCTCTGACCGAGCAAGGTCCAGGGCTTGGGCCGGAGGGCGGAGTGAGAGAGCAGCCCGAGGAAGGACGGACGGACGGGAGGGGCGGAACCACGGGTCCCTCCCAGGCCCTGCTGCTTGCGTCTGTGCACTGCCCACCCTTCCACACTAAAACACAGCTGGCGGAGCTGACTCTCACCGTCCTGTGGTTCCGACTCACGAGCGGTGAGGACTGACTGAGACGCAGAGCCGGGGGCAGGGCCTGGGGCCGTGCTGGGTGCCCTGGGTGCCTAGCGGCACCGGGATCGCGATGGTGGCCAACGCAGGTGTCCCCTAGAGCTGCTCGGCCTGCCCCGCCTGCTCGCTCTGCTCTGTTCCTGGGAAGGACAGGCGGGCAGAGCGACCCCAAGCCCCTAATTAAAGAGGAGCGATGGCACCCGTGACCGACCACAGAAACACTGCGCATCCCAGGCTCCTTGCCCTGCGCCCTCCCCTCCTCACCGCTCCCCAAAAGCATCTAGACCAGAACAGACTCTGCCACCCCCCTCGTGGGCAGTGTCTTAGCGGAGGCTGGGCCAGCTATCATCCTCCGTCTGCTGCGGGAATTCAGCACATACAAATAAAGCTCCTTTTCCAGCTGAGTGTGTCTTTTTCCGGCAGCCTGCAGCCCCCCTGCCCAGGTTGTCTTGTTTAGGTCACGGCAGCCTCGGGGAGGCAAGGATGGGAGGAGGGGGCTGTGGTTTCAGAACCTGCTCCCCAGGCAGGCCGGCCTGCAGCACAGCCTGGGGTCCTGCGCTGAGATGCCGTGAGCCGGGAGAGGCGGGGGCTGGGCAGACCCACTGTGTCCAGAAACAGCACGCCCCACTTTTTAATCCTCACCTGAGAATATTTTTCTGTTTATCTTCAGATAGAGTAGGAGGGAGGGAGAGAAGGAGAGAGGGAGAGAGAGAAACATCAACGTGAGAGAGAGAAATCGATTGGTCGTCTGCTGCACAACCGGACCAGGGCCAAGGATGAACTGCAACCGAGGTACATGCCCCTGACCGGAATCGAACCCTTGACTCCTTGGTCCCTGGCGACGTTCTAACCGCCGAGCCAGGCTGGCCAGGGCCAGCACACTGCACTTTGCCTTGCCCCTTGGGAAGGTACCCCAGCTCCTGCAGTGCCCCCGGTGCTCATGCCTCTCCACCACTCTCCGTTCCTGTCGGGTGCCGGTGACCCCTCCATCCATTCCCTGCACCCCTCCACCAGGGCCTCACAACTCCACTTCAGAGATGTCCTGCCGAGACAGATTTCCCCAAACCCCCAGCGCAGGTGACTTCCTCAGGGCTGAGGTTTCAGTCTCGGGGTTCTCTCCAGGACGTTTGGGGACCGCCAGGACAGGCTCAGGTGGTGCAATGGCCCCTCTGGGTGACTTCTGACTCCCCACCTGACAGCTCACCACTGACCTCGGAACCTGATGGGGAGGCTCCACCCTCAGGGCCCAGGGCCCAGGGCCCCTCCCACTGACCCTGGGGCTCCCTGCCGGGCTCCCCCTGGAGTGGCTCCAGGAACCTTAACTGCTGTCAAGCAGAGTAGTCCCCACACGGCCCACATTTCGGGGACTGAGCAGCTAGCTCTCAAGCACACACTATGCGCCAGGCATTTGCTTCTTCACACAACAAATCTTCAGCGTTTCACTAGCCTGTCAAGTTCAGGCCCCATCCTCATCCCCGTTTTACCAACAGCGACACAGACTCGGGGGCCAAGTGACGCCCTCAGACACCTGATGCTGCTGGCAGGTCTGGGACTCAAACCCGGCCTGTCTGACTCCAGAATCCTACTTGACAACTCGGGATCCTGTTCCTGTATTTACACGTCTGTGCCCCCCTGCCCCCAGCAGCTTGGAATCAGGGCGGCCCCTCCCCTCAGTTCCCTCCTCTACAAAGTGAGAAGGGCTGAGACGCTCTGCAAGGGGCTCCTGGTGCTGACTCTTGAGGTCCTGTGGCTCCGACATGCGAGGGCAGCGTGTGGTCTCAGTGCAGTGACAAGGTCAAGGAGGTGGGTCTCGGTCGCCTGCTCACTTCCCCTTCCACCAGCAATTCATGCCCTTGTGCAGGGACCCCCGAGGGGCCAGGACCCCTCTCCCCTCCCGATGGCCCCTCCTGACAACCCTCCTGCCGACCACACTCCCTGTCAGCAAGGCCCTCTTCACCTTGCGCCGTGGGCAGGGGATGCGGCGGGTGGTAAGAAGCCTTCCTGCAGGCTGCCAATGAGAATCACTGCTTCACCAGCAAGCAAGTGACGGTCTTTCAGCCCCAGCCCCGCACACAGGGAACCGGAGACGCTGAGGAGCTGGGTCGCATCCCACCTGGGCACGGGCAGAGGAGCCAGCCCACCTGAGCTACATCGGGAGCAGCAGAGGCCCCGCAGAGGGCCTGACCGAGGGGTAAGGGCCCTGACGTGGAATTTCAGAGAGAAAGGGGTTGCACAGGGTGTGCACAGGCCTGGGTGCTGGGCGCCACAGGGGCCGTTCTGGGGCACCGATGGGGTGCTTCAGACGGAAGCTGTTACAGGCATCTCCCGGCCAGGTGCCCCTGTTAGGTTGGGGAGAAGAATCTTTATGGATATATCTCGATATGTTAAATTTGTATTTTTTTCCCTAGCGAACCTAATCAAGCACCTACTCTGCGAGGCCCTGGGAAGTCTTCAGTCTGGGGTGAGGACACACCCATGGCCTTCCCTGCTGCGCCCGTGCACAGCCCCAGCCTCGAGGCAGCCTGTTCCGCCCAGCTGACCGCACATGGACACAGCCGATTCACACTCGAGTTCCATGGACCCAGACAGAACCTGGCCCAAGAGGGGTCAGCCCCAGCTGACTGCGGACCTGTGATTTGGCCCCGTGTGGAGGAAGAAGCTGGCTGCTGGGAGTCTCACTCAGCCTCCCAGGACGTCACCCTGGGGGACGCCAAGCGGAACCCAGGCCGCGAGCTGGGGACCCTGTGTGAGTGCTGTCAGCTCAGCGCAGTTGTGACTAAACAGCTGAGTCAACAGAAGGAGGGTCAAGAAAAGGCAGAATGACTCAGACCAGTCGCCATCTGCCTCTGAGGGTCACTCACCTCACTGGCAACCAGGACACACGGTCGCCAGGGTGGAGCCAGGGGACACAGGCCTCCCTGGTCTCAGCTTCTCCTCTGGGAGGTCCGCCCCCCCCCCCCCCCCCCCCCCTGCACACCTGCCGCAGATGTGCTGAACTTGCTGCAGGTGGAGGGACTCAGCCTTGCCTTACCTCACGGCTGCCCCCTGGGCCCCCAGCGCCCGCCCACCCCACGGAGCCGACCTCCTGGACCCAGGCTGCAGCTGGCAGGCCTGGGCGACCTCTCCTGCGAATTTATCTCATTCTTGCAGGTGGGTGAAATGACCTGTCCAGGTTACCTGTTGCAGATTGTTCATAAGAACAGAAGACTGGCCCAGCTGGTGTGGCTCAGTGGTTGAACATCGTCCCATGGACTGAGAGGTCCCAGTTAGATCCCCGGTCAGAGCACAAGCCTGGGTTGCAGGCTCAGTCCCCAGTAGGGGGCGAGCAGGAGGCAGCCGATCGATGTTTTTCCTTCACATCAATGTTTCTATCTCTCTCTCCCTTCCTCTCTCTCTCTAAAAAAATCAATAAAAACATATTTTTTAAAAAGGCCCTGGCCAGTTTGGCTCAGTGGTTAGAGTGTCGACCTGTGGTCCAGAGAGACCCGGGTTCGGTTCCGGCTAAGGGCACGTACCTCGGTTGCAGTTTGTCCCCGGCCCTGGTTGGGTCGTGCGGGTGGCAGCCACTCGATGTGTCCCTTTCACGTCAAAGTTTTTCTCTCTCTCTCCCCCTCCCACTCTATCTGAACAAAGAATGGAAAAACGTCCTCGGGTGAGGATAAAATATATACACACACATACAGAAGACTGGGTACCCCCACAGGCACGAGAAGGAACTAAATAAAGTCTACGAATGGTCTGTGGTGGGATGTAAGCCACCCTAACAGGACGAGGACACGTTCCCGTGCCCTGGGGAGGTCTCTGCGCCCTCAGAAGCGGGAAGGCAGGAACGGGCTGAGCCCTCTGGGGGAGGGTACGAACGGGCATCCTCCCACTCGCTTTGCGGGAGAGACCTTGAACGCAATGTAAGAACCGAGGACAGTGTGACCAGCAGGGACGAGAGGGCACAGAGACTGCTAACAGGCACATGTTATCTGAAAGCTTTGCTTATTCAAACGTCCCATTTTGAAAGCTTTCTGAGTAAGGGGTGAGGAGGGGCCGCGGGCCGTGCCTGGGAATCAGGTGGCAGAACGGGCAGTGCAAGCTGTGGAGGGGCCAGACGCCTGACCCCGGTCCCCCGGGCGCTCGGAGTGTATCTGGGCTTCAGGCCCCGTGAGGCCCAGCCTGCTGCCCGGCTCCGGTTCTCCACACCTGCCCTTTGAAGAAAACACTCTCCGAGGCAGCCCTGTGTCGGCCTCTCCAGCCAGACAGCCGGCAGGAGCAGCGGACGGCCTTCCCTGCAGCGGGGCCGGAGGGGTCGGCGGGGCTGGGGTGGAGGTTCAGGAGGGCACAGGTGCTCCTGGGGCACTGCTTCTCACCGCCGGAGGGTGTCAGGCGCAGTACGGCTGAGACACGGCTCTGGGGCTGGCATCTCAGCCCCACGATGGTGGGTGCTGCTGAACCAATCTCTTCGCCTTACCTGTGAAGCCCCCCACCCCGGTTTTCTTTTTTTTTTTTTATCCTCACCCGAGGATATTTTTCCATTTTTTGTTCAGGTAGAGTGGGAGGGAGAGAGAGGAAGGGAGAGAGAGAGAGAGAAACATCGACGTGAAAGGGACACACCGAGTGGCTGCCACCCGCACGACCAACCAGGGCCGGGGACAAACTGCAACCGAAGTACGTGCCCTTAGCGGGAACCGAACCCGGGTCTCTCTGTACCGCAGGCCGATGCTCCAACCGCTGAACCAAACTGGCCAGGGCCCCACCCCGGTTTTCTTGGAATATCACCCCCCTCTGAAGCAAGGCTTGGAGAGAAAGCTTCCAAGCAGAGAGGGACGAGGAAGGTGACCCCAGGAGAAGAAAGCAAGCAGATCTTTGGGTTCCAGCGTCAGGACAGCCCAGGAACAGGCTCGGGCCTGAGTTGCAGAAAGCCCGACGGTTTCTGCTTTCTTTACACGATGCTCTAACCCAGCGCCAAGCACAGAGGGTGAGGGAGTTGGGTCTGGTCCCCCTAGATGTCCACCCTGAGCCTCGCTGGCTGGGCCCCAGGCGCCCAGCTCAGAGGACAGGCTGGCACCTGACGCCCCCTCGAGGCCGTCCCTCTGTGGCTACACTCCAGGTCCACCCGAGACAGAAGCCCAGGCACACACGACACTTCACCGTGCTTTATTGTACAGAAGAATCCGAATATCTACATCCTGACAATTCTCACACTTCACACAGCGGCAGAGGGATGGGACTGGACCCGGGGTGAGGGGGTGGTGGAGGGAGACAGGGCCTCCCCAGAGCAGAGGTAGTTACAGGTGGGCCAGGAGGGGTGGGGCCCTGGCGACCTCGGGGACCAGCCCCGCTCCCCAACCTTAGACCTTCCATTCTCCCTGGAAAGGAAAGTCGGGAAGGAGGTCGAGGAGCTGGAGGAAAGGGAGGAAGGCAGAGAGGAGGCCTAGCTGGAGACTCTGTTCATCCACGTCCTTCAAATCAGCACCGAATTCGGGGCATTTCCCTCCTGGCGTGTCCAAGGTGCTTCGAAAACCCTGGTTTTTCTGCCAGAGATGTGTCTGCAAGCAGGTCTGGGAGAGGACGCAGCACCCCGAGTCCAGTCTGTACCCGTCAGCTCTGCCGTCCCCCACTTCCCACCACCCGCTGCCCAACAGAATGCATGGACACGCTGGGCTTCTTCGGTTTCTGAGTCTGTTTCAAAGTCATACAGAATCTTCCTAGTCGAAGGGGTGACCTACTCACCTGCCGGAGAGTCAGGAACAGACAGTCCCCCGCCTTGTTTTTAGTGAATGCGTAACGTCTACTAGGCTTTTCGACTCATCATCGTCCGGGGAAGACACTTCCACTCCGCCCCACCTCTCCCCGGCCAGGAGGGCCACGCTCGGGTCGTCACAATAACGCGACAGCGGCGTTTCCCAGGAGGTCCCAGTCAACAAGCCCGGCCCCGCGGGGGGGAGAGGCCGCTGCAGGGAACAGCTCCTGGAACAACACACCCCAGCACCGCTTCCGACCCCAAGGGGACAACGGTTACACGGAACGGGCAGCTGTGAGGAGGGCCTGGATGACTCCCTAGAAGTCCCGGCTCCCAAAAATCATACCCCTCGTTTGCTGGCTGAGGGCTCCCTGTCCCCCCGAGGAGGACCCAGGATTCGAAGGGAGGACCAGGCTTTGGCGAGAGGTGACATGACCCAGAAGCACAGGACGGTGACCCGGGCCAGAGGGAAGCAGCCACAGACTGGCCTGTGCACCCACCAGGACCCAGGAACCCTCCCTCTGATTTGGTGCTCGAGCTTGGGGAGCAGGTGGGAGGACCCCTGCTTCCTGCCCCAGGGCCCAGGCTGAGGCCGGAACCGCAAGGGCAGCTTCCTCCTCATCCTTCACAGGCGAGTGTGGAGTCTCTGCCGGTTGACGGAATCACCCACTTTACCCCGGTCGAGCTCCTAGGATCAGGGCCTTCAAGGGTTGGTGGCGCCTTGTGGGGTCACCAGGTGGCACAGAGGCCTCTGGGAGACAGCAGCGCCGAATTCTGTGACGTTGTCGACGTTCCACGGAAACCAACGGGCAAACAAAACCCGCTGTCCAGCAATTTGGGGAACAGGGTTAGACGCCGACAAGAGGTGTCGCTGCTGCAGGGGCCGGAGCCCGCGGTGCTGACATGTACGGCGGCCCTCCGAGAGGGCATCACGGGTCACATCCTCCCAGATGCGTCTCTGCACGGCACACGTCCAGGCTCGTGAGACACAGAACACGTGTTGTGTCCAGTGCAGGAACCACGGGGAGACGCCCAGGTGCCTGCGCTGGTCCCTTGTAGCCCTTACTCCGCGGGGGCCCTGGCCCTGGGCCTGCCCAGCCCCCCTTCCCTTAAGCAGACAGACCTCCGGACCTCTGTCCCACAGCCTCAGATGTGACCGGGAAAGAACCCAGGCCACGCAGCACACGCTGGTGACAGCCACGGGAGACCGGGGAGCAGAGCCGGGACCATCCTCCCACGGACGATGCGGCTGAGCAGGAGTTGAATTTATTTTACAAGCAGCCATTGTTCACGGAGGGACGGGGAGGAGGTGGCGGGGACAAGGACGCGGGGACGTTTACACGTGTGAGGCGAAGGCTGAGCCAGAGGGCTGGATGCCCCTGCCTGCCGACGAGCCCCCGCCACCAGGCGTGGTCCCCTCTGCCCTCAGCAGCAGCTCTCTGTCCACAGAGGATAGCTGGTTCCCAAAGTGGGTTCCCTCTGGCTCGCCCACGTGGCTGCCCTCCAGCCCGGGGCTCCCTGGCTGCCGGCAGGACCTGAGGGTCACTGCGGGGAAGCCGTAGGCCTCTGGCCCAGGGGGCCGCCCAGCCTCAGACGCTTCTAGAATGAGATCCACGTCGGAGAAGGCCACCAGGGCCTGCGTGGAGTCGCAGGAGCTCTTCTCCAGGTGGCTGGCCACGGCGGACGCCAAGGGCCCGGGGGCGCCCGCGCAGGGCCACAGCCGCCACAGGTCCTCGCGGAAGTGCGGGTTGAAGAGCAGGTAGAGCAGGGGGTTGAGGCAGGCTGGCAGCGGCAGCACCAGCAGCAGCACGGACTTGACGGCCTCGGGGGTGACAGGGACGAGGCCCAGCGTGGAGGCCACGCTGAGGAAGGCCACGGGGCAGTGCAGCAGCCCGTCTGCGAAGATGAGCCAAGCCACGTGCCGCACCATGGCGCCGTCTCCCACAGCGCCCAGCTCGCCGCGCGGCAGGTCGCAGTACAGCCGGATGTAGGCGCCGGTCACGACCAGCAGGCAGAAGGAGTTCAGCACCACCAGGGCCACCACGAAGCCCCGGGCAGCCGGCTGGCCCTCGGGTGGGGCATAGGGCAGGCAGAGCGGGGAGGCCCCGTACTCTCCCACCGAGGCCAGGGGCAGGGCCGCCGCCAACCCTGCCAGCGCCAGGCAGCCCAGAGCCCCCGCGCGCACACTGCCCAAGGAGGGCGCCTTCCCGCGGGCCCAGACGCAGGACACCGGGGCACTGCACTGCACGGCGGCCAGAGTCAGCAGCAGCACTGAGGCCTCGGACCCAAGCACGGCCAGGAAGCCGGTGGCCCGGCAGCCCAGCCCCGACTCCCAGCGGGCCCCATACTCGGCGAACTGGCCGAAGGTCAGGGCGTCCACGGAGGCCAGGAGGCCACAGGAGATGCCCGTCAAGGTGTTGGCCCCTGCAATGGCACCGACCACAAACTTGACGGGGGGCAGGGGGACGGGACCGCCCGCGAAGACGCTCAGCAGCACCAGCCCGTTGCAGAGCAAGGACAGCAGCACAATGGCCCACACGGCCAGGCGCACAGCCCAGCTCCCAAACAGCTGCTCACAGGGCTCGAAGGGGCCTGTGGGGAGGACAGACATTACCCCCTGGCCACGGCTGCTGCATGCAGGCCCGGGACGAGGCCAGAGGGGCTGACCGGGTCTTGGGAACCCTGCTGGGGTTAAGGGTTATACGCAGGATAGAAACATCACAGACACACACCGCACAGACCAGCACGGTGCAAGCCCAGGCAGTGAGGAAAGACCCTGCAAAGACATCTTCCCAAAGGAGCTGCGTTTGGAAGGAAGGAGTGGACAGGACACAGGACTGAGCTGTGGCTAGAGGCACCGAGATGAGGTGTGAGGGCTGCCCAGAGAGCCGCCCACTGCAGCCAAGGACCTGCTCCCCGGCCAGGGCCCGGTGAGCCACGGAGGACCCGGCTGTGCGTGGGCCCTGACCAGGTGTCCTACAGGCTGATGGCTCCCCCTGGCTCTGGGACAGGGACTCAGACCACAGGTAATATTCGCAGTGTCTACGGGCATCTAGGAGGCACAGCTTCCTAAACCGAACCACAGGCGGCTTCTGGGGTTGCCAGGCTAGGTCTGCGCCAGGTGGTCAGACCCTGGTGTTTTCCATCTGGCTCCTCAGACGCCTTGCCATTCTGGACATATTATCTCTTCACCTCTCTTAGCTTCGGACTCCTGTTCTGCTATGTAGCTTGGGAATTTGAAAGGAGGAATTTAGGAGCTTTTTTTTTCTTTACTGATTTCAGAGAGAAAGGAAGGGAGAAGGAGAGAGAGATAAAAACATCGATGAGAGAGAACATCGATGGGCCACCTCCTGCACGCCCCCCGCTGGGGATCGGGCCCACAACCTGGGCCTGTGCCCTGACCGGGAATCGAACCAAGACCTCCTGGTGCAGGGTCAACGCCCAACCACTGAGCCACACGGGCTGGGCTAGGAGCCATTTTTTAAAAAACATATTTTTGTCTGATTACCAAGCAATAAATGGTAATTATAGAAAATCTGTAAAATATAACATGGGAAAATGAAAACTACTTATGATCCCACTTCTCAGAGACAACTCATCGTTTTGGTGTTTCCTTCCATTAAAAAGTACATCTATACATACAGAGTTTTAAGCCACATTGGGTTTTACTGTATCTAGCTTTTCTTCTTTTTTAAAGTTAAAATTTCGCTAGGCACTGTTTCCCATACACTTATATTCCTCCAATCCTCCACCCTAGAAAGGGACCACGGCTTATTTGGCTATTTGTATGAGCCATGTTACAAGAAAGTTCAAGTTGGACTTGTCTTTGAAACATCCTCCTTCACCTGCTGATTATTGGTTTTCAGAGGTGACGTTTCTGTCCAGGTCGGAAAAAACAGCACCTGCCTCGTCCTGTGTCGGTGCGCCTGCCCGGGCGGCCAGCAGAGGGCGCGCTGCAGGGGCCGAGCAGGGAGGGCAGGTGTGGACAGCGGTGGGCAGGAGAGAGTTGAGCCTTAGCGAGAAGGGGCGGAGCCCCAGAGAGAGGGGACGTGGACCACGGATGTGGGGGCGGCAGTGAAGCCCGTGCCCATTGCTCCCAGCTTATTCTGAGCCGCCGCTGTCCTGGCCTGGGTGCTGTGTACTTTTTCCCCGGAGGGAAGCAGGTTCTTCCCTAGAAGCACCTTATGTGAGTTGCACCGAGGGGAGAGGGTTTCCCTTCTTTCTTTACAGAAGACGGACTTCGGTTAAACTCTAAAGGAGCTTCCTCGGCTGTAAGGGTTGGCCATGCTGTAAGCAGCCACCCAGGGACACCGGGGTTTCCCACCCTGGGGGTGGGGGTGGTAAGAGAGAGTCTGCAGTGTTCCTGGGATAGCAGAGAGGTGGAGAAGGTGACCTTTCAGAGTTGCACCCACTTGAGGATTCACCCCGTGGTCTCAGACTGAGGGAGTGGTCAGAAGCCGCCCCACCCGTGTCCTGGGCAACTCGGTCAAGACAGTCATTCCTGCTTCTCTCTGCACCGAGGGGGATTTCCTCCAAGATGTGTAGCCTCTAACTGGCTGATCTGCAAAGGTTTCTTGACCCCTGTGCCCCAGCTCCTTCCCCAGGGATCACTGGAAGAGGCTGTTCTCCCCAGGAGGGGGCGTCTGGACAAAGACAGGGCCTGCAGCATGGCCACAAGCACGCCAGGCTGAGCCTGTGTCCCAGTCCCACCCCCACCTGAGACACCACCTCACCTGGAACAGGGCTACACTGGACACGGGGGTGTGGCTTTGTGTCCTCCATCTCCAGCTGGAGCTCGTCCAGGTCCGGGTCGTCTGACAGGGGAGACCAGAAAGTGGCTGGGGTCCCAGGCTCCAAATGCCCACCCCTTGATAAAGTCACCCATGTCACTACCCAGCACCAGCCCCTCCAGGGGCCCCAACATGGTTTCTGCCCTGGGCGCGCACACTGGATGGGCTCCCTGTGACCCATGCGTGGGTCATCTGCGGTGTTGGCTCTTTAGAGACCTGCTCTTCCTGTCGCTCAGCTCTGTGTCCACCCCAGGCAGCCGAGGTCCCCGGGTGCTGCCTGGCGTCTGCCCTGAGAATGGGAGGTGGCCATCACAGGGCCAGCCCCGCGCGCCCTGTCCCTGTCCAGTTGGGAACACTGCATGGAGAAGGAGATCTAAGACAGAGAGGGGAGCTGCAGTCGTTCAGGGGAGGTGGCTCAGAGCCCTGAGCACGGAAGCTGAGAGAGACAGTACGGCAGGTGGCAGCGTTTGGCTTGGGAGGCAAGCGTGAGTGAGGGCCCAATGGCTGTCCCGTGACGCTGACGGCCTGTCAGGCATGCGGGGCCGCCTCTCCTATGTGCTGTGTCGTCCCAGAGGGCAGAATCAGGAAAAACAATGGATTGTACGAGAAGGCATTAGGATTCAAGTGGAGAAGTTCCAGTTCTTACAGACACAGGTGAGTTCCACAGTTAGAGTTGTCCAACCAAGAGGTGGAGGAGGCCCATGTGCTGGGCCCAGGGTCTGCTATGTGCCGGGCACGGGCACGGGCACGGGCACTCAGGGTGGACACGACTGGCCCTGATCTCGTTTATGGACACACGCGAGGATCGCTGTCGCGACTCCGGGTGCTGGTGCCCTTTGACATCAGTGGACAGAGAGGAAACCGAGGCGATGGGAGGGAGGTGTCTTTCCCAAGTCTCAGCCAGGGAACGACAGGGTAGAATCCACCCCTGGGTGTGTCTGACCACAGAGCCCAGAGGTTGGACATGATGCCTTCCCAGAGAAGACTGGATTTGGGGGTAGGGGGTGGGGAGTGACGAGGAGCTTTACGGAAGGAGGAGCTGGGCATGCCTGTCACGGAAGCAGAGAGCCCCTAACGTGAGAAAGGGCATGACTACACTGAATTAGAGGTGGGACTAGGTAATCTTGAAGCATCCTTCTGACTCTAAGTCTGTCATTTGGAGAAAATAGGATTAGGAAGGTAAATACATTGTTAAAGAAATTCTGTAACATGTTAGAAGCAAATGGACTTTTTTTGTCTTTTGCTGTTATAATGTTTCTTAAACAAGGGGCTGGCGAACTCCAGTGGGGGTTGGGGGTGGAGGAGATTTCAAGGTCCACAAATTCTATAACAATTTTGAAATGATGGTCTAAAGCAGCGGTTCTCAACCTGTGGGTCACGACCCCTTTGGAGGTTGAACGACCCTTTCACAGGGGTCTCCTAAGACCATCGAAAAACACATATTTCTGATGGACTTAGGAACCGACACACTGCTGCTCCATCCCTCTCCAGGCGGGTCCGCCCACATGCAGACACGCCCACGGACAACATGAGGACACGTATTAAAGGGTTGCGGCATTAGGAAGGTGGAGAACCACTGGTCTAAAGCATTTTATAACGTGTGCATATGCAGATGAGACTCCTGCACAATGTGTGGGTTTGAGAGCCAGCGAGTGCCCTGGGGCCCTTCCTCTGTCTACAGGGGACGGGCAGGTGACTCTGTCTGCTGTACTTGTCTCTGTGTTTGTTTCCTGTGCAGATCCTTCCTCCCCACCTGAAGGGTAAATACCTTCCCTGGGAGGGTTCCCAGGAGGCAGGCAGCAGGGGAGCTGCCCCTGGTCCAGACTCCGTGGGGCGGAGTCCACCGTGAGCCAAATCCTGGCATTTCCTTCTCTCTCCACCTCCCTTCCTGCCTGCCATGCTCTCCAGAACGGAGCTCCACCACCCTTTGAAGTCAAAACGCGTGAATGAAATACAAGGGCTCAAGCCCAAGGAGTCTGTCTGAGGCTGGGAAAGTCCCAGCCACGGTGTTGAGTAACCCCTAGGCTGGCTGAAGCAGCCGCTCCTGGCTTTCCCGCCGGGCTCATTAGCTCCCACAGGAAGTGGGGCCCAGCCCTCGCTCCTGATACCTGCCGGCAGCCCACATCCGCCGGTCCTCCTCCCAGAGCTAAGCCTGGTGGAAAGTTTCACCTTGAGGAAGGGAAGTTTCCATTCCTCCTTCCAGCCCTGAGAGAGGGCACAGCAGCAGACGTCCAGGGCGGTCCCGGGGCCAGCTGTGTGCCTGCCCAGGGCCAGCAGCGGCTGGGCTCCTCCTCCCAGGGCACACGGTGGTGGGGTTCCCAGAGACCCCGATGGCCTGCCCAACACTGGCCTCCACAGGCTGTGTCCTTGTGCCCTGGATGCCCCGCCCCCCGCCATGCACCAGCAGGGACAGACGGCAGGAGTGTGGTGGCAGCCAGAGAGGCGGTCACTCGTCACCAGCTGTGGTCTTTAATCCTGCCTGAAGGGTGTGGAATGCCGCTCTCACTTCACAGAAAAGGAAACCGAGGCTCAGGAGGACTGCCAGGGACCAAGGCAGCCGGCCGGTGGTGGTGCCTCGTGTTTACACCCCAGGCCTGTGCACCACGGTGAGACGCTGGCCTTGCACGTCTAGGTTTGATTTTTCTGTTTACTTTTCCATTGATGTATTGCGGAGAGGGAGTTAGAGATGGAACAGAAATGCAGAACTCGGCCCGTTTTCTCCCCCTCCTGGTCCGCTGTGTCCCATCACGTGGGGTGAGGCAGGAAGCCTGTCCTCACCTAGACACACTCAGGAGACAGCCCCTCAGGATCCCCTTGGCTACCTGCCCCCACCTCTTAGCCTTCTACCTCAACTCTTCCACAAACAGGTTGGTGTGGTCCATCGGCCAGCGCGGGGGGGCCCTTCTTGGCGGGGCCCTCGGGCACCTGGTGGCCTCTGGGCTTCCCCCCGAGACCTGCGGGGCCAGCTGGAGGGCAGGATGACTCAGAGCAACACTCCCTGGGCTGCTCCTCTGGACTCCGGGACACTAGTGGGGACTTTCTCCGGAGCCAGGTTTCACTTAATTGACTTCATTCAGCCCTGCTGGGCTCAGGCTGACTGGGAAATGGGGGAGTTCTCTGAGAACACCCGCCAACTGCAGGGCCCAAGGCGGCCGTCGGGAGCAGGTGCGTGAGCTGGGCGGGCAGGTGCTGGGAGAGATGAGACCTGCCTTGTGACCGGCAAAGGGCTCAGCACTACCCTGGCTGGTTTGGCTCCGTGGTTAGAACCTCGGCCTGCGGACCAGAGAGTCCCAGGTTCGGTTCCCGCTAAGGACATGTACCTGGATTGCGGTTCATCCCCAGCCCCGCTTGGGGTCGTGTGAGTGGCAGCCAGTCGATGTGTCTCTCTCACATCGATGTTTCTCTCTCTCTCTTCCTCCCTCTCTCCCTCCCGCTCTATCTGAAGATAAATGCAAAAATGTCCTCGGGTGAGGATAAAAGAAAGAAATTTCTACCAAAGGGCTCAGCACCATCGTCACTTTCTCCCAAGCACCTTGGGGGTGTGGCCTTGGAGGGATGAAGTGAAAACAGGGGTTCATGTTCTCCAGGTCACCTGTGGTCCCAGCCTGGGTTCTCCCTCAGGGTCCCCCAAGCCTCCTCTCTGACAGCGCCCCCTTCCCCACAGACCCCGCCAGCTCCTCCCAGAGCCCGTCACTTACAGTGGTTCTCGGCTTGTCCAGCGAGAAGGCCCAGGGGCCTCTTCGGAGCCTCCTCGTCCCTGAGCTGCAAGGCCTCTGCCTCCCACTGCCCGGAAGCCTTGAAGAAGCTGGTGCAGACGCCGTATGTGCAGCACTGGTAGGCATAGGGCACCTCCAGTGTCCTGGGGGCGGAGAGGGACACAGCTGCCTCAGGAATGGGGTCTCACCCCGGCTGGATGTGGGGTCTCACATCCGGCACCCAGTGTCTGCCCTTTGATCCCTAAACACCCCGATTCCTGTGCTGGGAGCCTCTTGGCTTTCTGTGTGAGGGTCTGTAGCCCAGATCCCGCCTCTGAAGAGCCCTGAGCACATTCCAGTCCGTTCCTCATTCATCCTGAGAGCTCGGCCGGCCGGGGCAGACTCTCGGCCCGCAGCAGGTGGCGTGGGCCGGGTGTGCCAAGGTCACACAGCACTGGGGCGCTGGTCCCTCCCGCCAGCACCTCTCCCTTTATAAGGAAGGAGACAGGATTCTCCGAGTGATCTCTCCTCTTGCCCTCCAGATCCACACCTGCCCCTCCCACCCTCGGGCACATCAGAGCTGGATGTGGGGCCCTTTGACGGGGGTGGGGGACAGAGCTACAAGCTGACTCGTTGCTCGTCGGTGCCCTGGGCTCTGTGCCTGGTTCCAGGGGCCCAGATGCTGCCCAAGGGAGGGTGGGCAGTTTGGTGCACACAACGGGGCAAGGGGTGAGGGGGTGCGGGAGCCTCCCACCACCCTCTGTCCTCACAGGGGTCCGTGTGCCCTGGGGCCGGGGCTGGAGAAATCCCAGAGGAGAGACAGGAAGGGGAGGCAGGAGCCTCCCATGGAGTCTTGGCCACCAGGCTTCTCCCGTGGCTCCCTCCTGTCCCTCCACGGCCTCTCGGCTCTCGGGGGCAAACCTCTCTCCATGTGGGGAACGCCGGGCCCTCACCTCAGTTTTGGGAAACTGTCCTTGGAGAAGGCCTGAGACAGAGCCGGGTTCCCTTTGAGCTTGAGGTGCACCAGGTCTCCAAGCCCGGCCAGGGGTAGCGTGGTCAGCTGGTTGGCTGTCAGGTCCCTAGGACAGTAGATGGTCAGGTTATTGGCAGTTGTGGGACTTCGAGGGGCAGGGCTGAGCGGAGGGTGTGGCCAGCACACCTGGGATGGAGCCAGAGGGGCACAGCCAAGGACAGAGTCACAGGGCCAGAGACAGCACAAAGTGCTGGGGTGGGGGCCGCTGGAAGAAATGGCTATAACTTACTCACTCACTCATCAAATACCGGTACTGACGACCTACCAGGGATCATCCCAATTCAGGGGTGACAGAGCCCCTCAATCACAGCTCTTGTGCCAGGTCCAAGTCCCATAGAGAGGGCCCTGTCCCCCCACTGGGACATCTGCCCATCACCACCCCATCTCCCTGCTTTTCGGATGGTATGAGAGCCCAGTGCTGGGATTGGATGGAGCTGGCTGCTGCTACATGCGGGGACTGGGTCATCTGTCCCCACCTGCGGCCAGAGGAGAGGCCACGCACGGTCTTCTCCCAGAGACACAGAGGAGGCTCCAGACCAAACTCAAGCACAGACTGTGCGTCGTAGAAGCAGCCTGGGCCACCACCCGTGTGACCCAGGGGCCCCAAGTCTGCCTCAGTCCTTATCTTTCAAAGGGGTAAAACTGTCCCCCCTCCATCTGGAGGAGAAGAGAAACAGAGAGAAGATGGAGGGAGGGAGGGAGCAGCATGGCTCCCAAGAGCACAGACTGGATGGGGCTGTGGGCGCCTGGCGTGCCCCCCACCCTGTGAAGTCAGGGGTGGTGCTGGAGGTTCCCTGGGGCTGGGGCTGGCCCAGAGGGGTCTTAGTGTGATCGGAAAAGGGCCCGCACACGCAGGCGGGCAGCGCCCCCTGGGCAGTGATCACAGCACCACGGTGTGTGACCTCGTGGCCGTGCGGCCAGTGTAACATGCTAGCTGCTTACGTCCTGTGATGCCCATGCAGGGCCCTGGCTGCCCCGTCTGCTACCACCCTCCTGGAACTCATCTGGGCCTGGGCCTTCCATGTCGGGGGGCGGGGGACGGGGCAGGGCTGCACAGATGCCCTCCGGAGCCTGGGGGCCGGCTCTCTGTTTACCAAGTCCCGAGGGCTGTCACATGGACGGTCACAGTGACTGATGAGAACGGAGCCCGTGTCCTGGGACGTGTTGTCAGACGTCCATGAGGTCCCCATTCTGGGGTGGGCCCTGCTGTCCCCACAGGTCTGCAGTACCCAGGAGGGGGAACCCAGAGGCACTTACAGCTTGACCAAGGAGCGCAGGGTCGCGAAGGCCTCGGGGTGGATGAACCGGATGGAGTTCCAGCTCAGGTCCCTGCAGGCAGAGGGGGTGTGACGGGGGGACAGTGACAGGTGGATGATTCCTGGTTCTCCTGCCCTTGCCCCCACCTGAGCTGCCCCCTGCAGGGGAAGGTTCCACTAGCCCCGCTCTCGACCTGCCTGTGGCCCCAGAAATAGGCACGTGGCAGCCTCACTTCAGAGCCTCATGGCCCCCTGGGTCCCCGCTGGAGGTGGGGCTTGAGAAGCCATGGGGATGGGGGGCCACCTTGCGTCCCATGTGAGTGCAGGGGAGGGGGTGCGGAGGAGCCCGTGTGCATGCAGTGCCCCGAGGGCGATGGCTCTGAGACCCCAGACCGCCCCCTGTGCTCAGGTACTCACAGGACCCGCAGGGCCCTCAGCTGGCTGAAGGTGTCGGCTCGGACCTCCCTGATGCGGTTGTGCTGGAGGCCGCTAGGGCAGCAAGACAGGCTGGGTGAGTGGTGGGCTCGGACCTGGCTCCACTCCACACCCCCTCCCACGCACCGGGCTGAAGAAAGGAGCCCCCTCGGCTCCTGGCAGAGCGAGAGGACCCAGCCCGCGGGAGTCACAGCATTAAAGGGATCCAGTTGCCTTGGGTAAGTGGGGCAGGAGACAAAGCTGTTCCTGTGGCCCAAGAGGGAGTCAGTTTCCAGGGTTCCCACCGGGCATGGCTCCCCGCCCAGCCGACCCTGGTCCAGCACCAATGTCCCGCCCAGCCCCTGGACGCCCCTGACCAGCCCCAGCTGGGCAGCAGAGCTCAGAGGAATGGCTGTCCGTACATGAGGGACTCAGGGCCTTGACACTAAAAACTCTCTTTCCTTGGGCACCTAGACAAACGTGACAGGCCCTGCACTCCCTGCCCGGGCCCCAAAAGGCATCGATTGCTCTGCCAGGAAGTGGGGCAGATACAGGAGGCTCTGAGAGGTAGGGCCGGGCAGACAGCATAGGGAACCTTGGCTGTGACTTTCTCCCTGTTAAGTTGGAGCCCCAGGTCACCTCTTGAGTGGGTGAGTGTGCACAGGCACACATATACCCATGTGAGCGAGTGTACACAGGCACACATATACCCATGTGAGCGAGTGTCCATGGGCACACATATACCCATGTGAGTCAGTGTGCATGGGCACACATATACCCATGTGAGCGAGTGTGCACGGGCACACATATACCCATGTGAGCGAGTGTGCACAGGCACACATATACCCATGTGAGCGAGTGTGCACGGGCACATATACCCATGTGAGCGAGTGTACACAGGCACACATATACCCATGTGAGTCAGTGACAGTCTGTGCTCTGAAGGGCAGGCTCTTCGGTCCCTGATGCTTCCTGTGCCCAGCCCACCCGGCCGACGTGGCCGTCCCTTGCTGGTCCTCATCACCACCACGTTGCCGTGTTGCCCTTGACCCTCAAGGAGCCACATTGAGACTCCTTTGAGCACAGGCTTCTGGGCCTGTCATCTGCTGTCCAGGCCTCTGCTCAGCTCCCGGCCATCGCCTCTGGGTCACAGGCCCTCAGAGCAGGCCCTCCCCACACACCTGCCCAGGTCGGCTCGCATGCCGCTGCCCCCCCACACACACACACTCACATCTCCTCCAGCTTCTGACATCTGTGCAGGCTGGGCAGCTCCTCGATCCGGTTGTGAGACAGCTCTCTGGGGAGAAAGGCTGGGGTGAAGTTGAGCCGGGGAAGAGGCTCTGGCCAGGGCCCTGCTCCCCTGTCAGGCAGCCAAGGCTGGAGGAGCCTGTGGGGACGTGGCTGTGGACACCCTCACTGCAGGGCACTGTCCCCGTCAGACTCGTCCACATCCCTCGCTGAGCCCCCCTCTTCCAAGCAGGGCTGCCGTATCCACAGAAGGCCTGGGGACCCAGCAGGGTCGGGGGAAGAGGGGGGAAGTGAGAGGGGAGGAGAGAGGCAGAGGGGGTTTGGGGGATGGACCAGGTGTAACCAAGCCAGTGAACAGCACCTCCTGTCACTGTGTGTGGGGATGACAGTCCCAGCGTCCCAGCCCCTTTACCTGGAGGGGGTTCACCTAACCCTTCGCCTAACTGGGGCGCAGGCGGGGGACACTCCCCTTGACTCCCTAGGCTGCTCTGGCAGCTCTGTGGTTGCAGAGGCTAATTTCCTCGTGCGAACTGGAGTAATAAAGCCCCGTGTGCACTTTACACGTTTTCCAACCTCACAAAGGCCCCATTTTGCGGAGGAGGAAAGTGAAGCCCTGAGACATGGTCAGCGGCCGAGCAGGGGTCACACCGAGGCCTGGCTCCCAAGACCCGTCTTTGCCTTGAGCAGAGAGGACAGCCCAGAGCCTCCCAGGGAGATGTGTGCCCGTTCTCGGCGGCAGGAGGAGAGGTGACCGAGTGGACCGAGCAGGCGGGGCCTTTGCCATCCACAGGCCTGAGGGCAGGAGCAGGGCGGCAGGAGGAGAGGTGACCGAGTGGACAGAGCAGGAGGGGCCTTTGCCATCCACGGGCCAAGGGCAGGAGCAGGGCTGCAGGGAGCGTGTGGGCCACTCACAGGACGCGGAGCCTGGGCAGCTGCTGGCACATCCCGGGCGGGAGCCGCCGGAAGCCTGCACGAGTCAGGGTCCTGCGAGGGAGCAGACAGGGAGCAGGTGAAACAACAGACAGTGGACCCCTGGGAACTGAGCACCTGTCTGCCCCACACCCTGTGCCTGGGGGGGGGGCTTCCTGGAGAATGAGGAGGGGGGAAGGGGGGAGGGGGCCCAGGAGAGAGAGCCACTCACAGGGTCTCCAAGCTCGTGGTGCCTTTGAGGTCTGGGAACTCCTGGATGTCCGTGGCTCCGTTCAGGGACCTGGAGGCTCCGCGGACGGAGTCAGAGCACGTCCACGTCAGCTCCAGCCTCAAGGCTCTCCCCACTGAGCCATCCTTCCCCAGCACCCCTCAATCAGCCCCGCTCTCCGGCCCTGGGCTTTGCTTAGCAGGGTCCAGCAGATGGAGCCAGCAACCTCGACATTCGGGGTGCTGGCCCGCAAAACACAGGCCAGGGGAGCAGGAGTTGCCTTGCAAAAGGTGGCCTCTTGGGTGTTTCTGAGAAAGCCCTGGGCTGCTGGGTCTCCCCGAGCCTGAGCTAGGGTCTCCCCAAAAGTGCCATCGGGGTTCCATTAGAACCTCGGCACTGCTTCTCTTCCTTAAACTGCTTCCAACTGGGGGCTCGTCTCTCCCCTCCCTCCCCGTCTTGTGAGGACGTGAACCCACGGACCTGCACAGAAAGTGGGGCTTCAGACCCAAGCAGGCAGCGCGGGGTCCAGAAGTGAACCCAGGAGAAGCCTTGTGCAGGGAGAAGCCACAGAGGAGGAGGGAGGGCATGACGGGCACCGGGTCTGGGAAGAGGCCTGAGCCAGGGGGAGCCCGGCAGCCTGGAGCTCCTGCCTCTGGGGCTGTGCCTGGCAGGTGGGGGCAGGGGAGCAGCCGCAGGAGCAGGGACTGGGGACGGAGCCGTCCAGCCGCCCAGCAGCCCTGGGGCCCACGTACAGCGTGTGCAGCTTTGGCAGGTGCCGGAACGCAGACCTTCCCACCGACTGGATCGGGTTGTTGTAGAAGTGTCTGGAAAAGACCCGGACGCTGGATTCGGCGACGCGGCACTTCAGCTGGGACCGCGGCAGGTCTCTGCTTTCTTCTCCCCACGGAGCCCAGGGCAGGCACCCCTCCCGCCTGCCCCCCCAGACAGCACTGGAGAATCCAGGACTCACATGGTCTGCAGCAGAGGGTTCCCCATGAAGGCCTTTTCTGGGATGGCCTTGATGTTGTTGTTATGGAAACCCCTGGAAGACAACCGGGGTCACAGGGCTCAGAGGCAAGTGGGGTTCCGTGCAGCCTCGGGACGGCGGCGAGAGGCCAGGACACCGACGGGACACCAGCCGGGAGACCCCAGGTGCTCCTACATCCAACATCACACCCACCCGTTCCCAGACACGTGTGACAGGTGTGGGGGGCGGGGCTAAGGAAGCCCTAGAGCAACTCAGCTGGGGGGGGGCGTCCTCTCCTTTTCCCTGTCACTCGCGAGGGAGCCCTGGAGGGTCCCCAAGGAGAAAGCAGAAGACGTGTGGGAGGAGGGGGTGCAGAGAAAACAGAGCCTCCAGGGGCATGGGGTGAGGGGTGAGCCCCAGTGGACGCTGGCTTGGCCCCAAGGCCCTGAAACTGAGAACCAGAGAAGTGGGGTGGGGGTGGGGAGGACCAGACACTTGGGCGGATACTGCCTGGCTGATGACGTGGGGAGGAGGGTGCGGTGAGTGTCGGGGTCCTGGAGGCAGGAGCAGCGTGTGGTTAGCGGGGAGGACCGTTCTCAACAGCCCCGGGCTGAACAGCACAGAGCAGGAGGACGCCGTCCTCGTCCCACGGATATCACGGCTTCTCCCCGCCTTCTCCCCGGCTTCCTGGACGCCTCACCTCTCTCTGCCCCTCACTCCCCGTGACGGCCGCATCCTGTCACTCGCCTGGACACTCACTCCAGCCGATGCCACCGCCCAGGCCGCTGTCCACTCAGCCACTCCTTTGCTAGTTCACTCACTCATGCTTCCGGACACCACCTCGTCTGCTGCGCTCCGGGACTCAGGCTTATGGACGGAGGCCCGGTCCCCAAGCAGCTTTCTCTCACATTGGAGAGATATAGACGGACGGACAGACAGACACCATCCACAAACGCTCTTGCTTCTGCTAGCTTAGTCTCTGCTCCCCGGATGTGTCAGCTTTCCCGTCCCCTCGCACACACGCCACCCCCTCGCACACATGCCGTTCCCTTGCACACACCGCCCCCTCCGCGCACACGCGGTCCCCTCCGCGCACACACCACCCCCTCCGCGTACACGCCGTCCCCTCCGTGGCCCCCCATCGCCGGAATCCCATTGTTCGCCCCATCCCAGCTCAAAGGAACAGTCAGGCCTTGTGACTCATGGGCGACAGAGGACTTCCAGTGGTCCCCTCAGACCCGTCCCTCCCGCTGGTCTGGCTGTCCCTTACCTGCGCTCACATCCGGCCTTCACACCTGCCAACTGCCGGACCAGGCGGCGGGTGGTGTGGAGGTGCCGCTGTGGTCCAGGCGGACCTGAGTCAAGACGCCGCCTAGAGTTTGGGGCTCGCTCTGCTGACAAACCTCAGGCTGCCTTGGGCTGGCCACGCTCGTCCCTGCTGGGTCACCTTGGCCTGCTCCCTTTCCCCTCTGGGCTTCTGTCTGACGTGCCCCTGCCCTCGGAGAACAGAACGGAGGTACTCACAGCTCCTGCAGCCTGCCCAGGGTCCGGATGGCCACGGGGAACTCCTGCAGATCGTTGTGGTTCAGGTCCCTGCAGGAGAGCAGGGCCGTCAGGGGTGCTCAGCAGGCAGCCCAGGCCTGAGTACTGGACCCTCGGCCGGGAATGAAAGAGCTGGGGTTGCAGCCCAGGCAGGGGACCTCTGTGAGCCACCATCTCCCCAGAGACAGGAGCCCGCCACTGCCAGGGAGCACATGGGTTCCCTGTGGGTCCCCCGAGGCCCCGGGCGCACAGTGAGGGCTCCTTGTCAGGGATGAGCACCCAGTGTCCCAGGGCAAGGCCTGTGGGCTGCCCTGGGGCCACAACTTCCCTCTGCCTTCCGTACAGGGCTACAGGGTGGTCTCTGGTGCCCTCAACCTCCCCGGAAAAGCCATCCATGGCTTTACAGCCTGTTATCTTTGAAGCTCAGAATCAGCCAGAAACCCAGGAAGCGTTAACGGGCCGTCTCTGCTCAGGGAGCTGGGAGCAGACGGAAGGGCTGAGGTTAACGAGAAACGGCTCCCTCGGTGCCGGGGTTCCGTCTGGAAGCCACAGCTGATCCTCCCCTCGTCTGCTCAGCTGTTTCCAGCCAAATCCAGCCCAAGCAGACGGCGGGACGGCGGGCCAGGCCTTCGGGAAAGTAGCCGGGAAGGCGAAGCCCCAAGCTGTCAAGGGCCCACGTCCTTGACTTCCGTTTCCACCTGTGCAGACACGGCCACCGCGAGACCCCTGCAGACACTCCGGCCAGCAGACCCACGGTGGCCCACCTCACAGCGGCAGAGGAGGGTTGACGCTACTCGCTGGGCTTGCCTGACACGCTCAAGGCTGATGTTTGAGTTTCTCCCCAGCCACAGACAAGGGCATGCGGAGCGGTGGGGACAAGCTCACGCCCCAGCGTGAAACAGAACACAGGTACCCCCCAGACTGTGAGCCCCACCACGTCACCCCCCAGACCAGGAGCCAGGGGGCAGGCGCTGCCCATACGTGTCCCGCAGGCGGCAGACTGAGCCTCCCCCTGGAATCTGGCTCCTCCTGTTTGGGGCCGATGACCTGGTGAGCCAGGAACCAACAAAAGCTTGATGACTAATAGCATCGTTCTACCTTCTAAGCAACCTACACAAAGGGCCACCCACGAATAAATGCAGCAATTAGTAAAATAGTCATCGGCTTCCACTGAGACACAGACACGCCTCCCTTCAGCTTCCTCCCCCCACACTCCCTTCGCCAGAACTCAGAAAACACCTGCAGCCAGAATGGGTTCCCGGGAGTCGCCGAGATTACTTGTTTCCCTGATGAAGCATCTGGGGTCCGAGAAGCCAGGTCTGAGGAGCCGAGTCGTCAGTCCACCTGCCGGCAGCACAGACTGTCTCCGAGTTCCCTCTGGGTCTACCTACCTGGCCCACTCTGTGCATCAGAAACCCTCCCTTGGCCCCCATCCCATCGGCTGGAAGAGCACATGTGCACTGTCTGCCCAGGACAGTCTCCGTGTCCCACCTGCTGCTGCCCCCAGGTTCTCTGAATAAGGTTTGCAGACGATTTGCCTTCTCGCCTCCCTCCCCAGAAAAGCTCTTGTCACTTAAGATGTGACGACAGGACCCCGTTGTCCAGGTGTGGGCAGCACCTCTCTCACCCGAATGCCATGGTGACCTGGAGGGGGATGTGCCGGGGGGTCATCCCAGCGACCTCACTTCACTGGTCTAAAGTCGGGGCCCCCTGGTTCGGAACACAGAGCTAGAGGGAAGGGACCATCCCGAAGGCTCCAGCCCGTGCCCGGAGCGTCCCGGTCAGAGAGCACGGGACACCTGTGTGGTCTCCTGGGCTGCGAGAGGGCTGACTCCAGACATTTAAGTCTGGGGCTCAGGGGAGGTGTCTGGGCTGGAGACTGTGCAGAGCCCTAAGCATGGACCAGAACCTTAGAGATTGGGTCGTCTGGACTCCTGGCCTTGAGCCCTTTGCCTCTGGTAGCAGGCAACATTTTTCTTGTTCACAAGGGTCTCCCCACCTGATGGCCAGGCACACTGTAGACGCTTAATACATGTTTATGGGCCGAGAGGCTGAAGACAAGAGAGTGGTGATCACAGGACCGCAGTACGGAGGGCCGGCCCGACCTCGCTGTTTCTCCTCCACCACCTCCTGACCTCCGCTCCCCACCATCCCAGACCCGCTGGGGTGCCTGCAAGGGCGGTCAGAGTGGAAGCAGGGAAGGAAGGGGCAGCGTGGACGAGAAGGGTGCCCGTGGGGACCCCCAGCGCTGGGCCGATGGGACAGGGAGCATCATGCTGGAAAGAACATTAATAACTCAACATGGTCACAGGACACAGGACCAACTCAATGGGCAGCTTAATTTTCCGCCTGTTAGAAGTCATTAGTGGTTCTAGCGGGAAAGCCAGGAAAAAACCTATTTTATATGGTACGATAAATTCCTCTATCAGCCACAAAACCCCACAAATCTGCATCTAATAAACCCACAAATGTAAAATGATTGAGGACTGGCTAGGCCGGCTCTCAACCCCTCCACGGTTGGCCTCCAGAGCGGCGTGGTCTGACCACGGACGCTGGGCCAAGGCAGAGACCGCGCTAGCCCGGGATCAGCCAGCCACTCAGCGCCTCGGTTTTCTGCCTGCAACGCGAGGGCACACGCCTCCTGCCTCGGGAGGGGCGTGAGGTAGGAGATGCGACAACCTTTTGTTTTTGTTTTTTATCCTCACCCGAGGACATTTTTCCATTTTTTTGTTCAGATAGAGCGGGAGGGAGAGAGAGGAAGGGAGAGAGAGAGAGAGAAACATCGACGTGAAGGGACACATCGAGTGGCTGCCACCCGCACGACCAACCAGGGCCGGGGACAAACTGCAACCGAGGTACATGCCCTTAGCGGGAACCGAACCTGGGTCTCTCTGTACCGCAGGCCGACGCTCTAACCGCTGAGCCAAACCGGCCAGGGCGAGATGCGACAACCTTTGAGAAAAAAAAATATTCTTTTCCGTGCAGCAAAGTATCAGTGGATGGTCAGCGCTGCCTGAAGGTCAAAAAGCAAACTGCCAGGCTCACATGGACCTCTGCCTCCTCCGTGCTGTGAGGCAGACCCCTGCTGTCCTCCCCGGGCCCCGGTGACCTGCTGGTCCCGACCAAGGAGGGACTGTGCTGGGAGATGTCCGTCCCCACCTCGGCCCCAGACTCCTCTCCAAAGCGAAAGTCCAGCACCCAGAGGCCCTGGTCAGGTCTGATTTGCTTCATGAAGTTGCAATGAGGCCCACAGACCATCATCACCTCGGCTCCAGGGAGGCCTAGCTGAGGTGCAGACACCAAACGCCCCTCGGGTGGCGACTGCATTTGCTTGGTCTTTTTAGGGCACAGATTTTATTGGCGGTTATACTGGGGATTCCGGGGGCCATCGCTGGCAGCACAGAACAGCACCCTGGCCGCTGACCGCGCATCCGCAAGCACGGACCCGAGGGCACAGGCCTGGTTTCAAGTCCCTGAGGCCTCCTGGCAGAACCTCACCAGAACTGCTCTGGCCCCAGAAGGCTCTCGGCCTCGACAGCTGGGAAGGCTGTAACCACCCGACCTGTAGGAGCCGGCACTAAACAGAGCGAGGGATGAGGCCGCAGGAGGCTGGGTCCAGGGCTTCACCACCACCTGCAAAGTCTGGAAATGAGACACTCACCCCAAGTCTCTGGATTGGGCCTGGTCTGGGACCTCACCGGCTGGGGGTGACCCACCTCTGATTATGAGTTTCCCAGCAGGGGATGGGCACCCTCACGGGGAGAAGGAGGGGTGTCTGCAGGGCACAGTGGTCCTGCCAACCTTAGTGGGCCCTCCTGGCAAGGTTGGTACCCTGGGATGCCGCCCGGGGAGAACAGGGAGCCAGGTGCCCCAGCCTCTCTCTGCAGGGCAGGCTTCCGGGGGCAGCAGGAGCTGTATGACTACAGGAGGGGGCACAGCAGCGTCCAGCCCCGGGGCTCTGCCCACACCACTTGGGTCTACAGGGTCTTTCAGAGCAGAAGAGAGCAGATGTGTGCTTATCGGCTGAACGCCTCTCCCTGCCAGGTGCCCATTGTGCAAACAAAGGAAATGAGGCTGCGCCGTGGCGACGGGCTCTGGCCAACCCAGTGACACAGGCAGAGGGGGCGTGGAACCCAGTGGCCTGGCCCCAGAGCACAGCGCGTCGCGGGACCCTGTCCTGGGTCTGTTTGCAGGGACAGTGTCCGTGTGGGGTGAAGGCTGTGGAAGGCTTCAGCGACGAGGCCTGTGCACTATGTGCACAGCCTGCTGCGTGGCCACCCGTGCGCCTGACGGCACCTGGTCCCCGCAGGTGGAAGGGCTGGGTGTCACTCCCCTCCTGGAGGAGCCAAACGGCAGCTGGGCGGGTTTGATCTCCCCGCGCTGCAGAGATGAGAGAGGTCTAAGTGACAGCGATCTGCCGCCGCAGGGAGAAACCCTGCCAGCCAGGCGCTCACATGAAAAGCTCAGCAGGAATAACTGAGGCTGCGAAGCCAATTATACAACAATTAAAAGGTTTGGCTCCCGCCCTTGAGCTCCCGCCCTCCGCTCCCGCCTGCTCGGCACATCTGGCTACCCCTGCAGGCTCCCAGCAGTGCTCGGGGGACCGAGGAGAAAGAACACACTTTCCCCTTTTCACTGGAGATCAAACGTTGGAAGTGGAACTGATCCCTGGAGGGTGGGAACAAGGGGTGTTGCTGAGCCGGCCAGCTGGCTAAGAAGCGGCTGGGAGAGAGGAGGGGTGCAGGGCAAGGTCCCCACGCAGCTCTCACGGGGTCCCCACGCCACTGGTAAGACGGCCACTGTTTCTGATCAGAAGGCGGACTCACAGAGCACAGGACGTGCCCAAGGTCACACGGCAGGGGTCTCGCCTCCGGGCCAGCCCACGCTGCCCGCTGGTGTCGCCTGGGCCCTGTTCTGTCCCTCACCCCGCGTCCCCGCCTGCAAAGCGGGCAGGCTCTGTGTGGCGCCCGCGCCCTCACATCAAAGGCACAGAGGGCCGCTCTGTAGTGAAGCCAGTGCCCGCGCAGCCTGCCAGTGCCTGAGAAAGCGGCGGGCAGGGTGCCCTCGGTGAGGAAATCGCTGCTGGTTGGCGTTTGAGAGGAGCCAACCCTCGCCTGGCACATGTGCCCCCACCAGCTTCCCGGCAGAGCAGAGCGGGCGGCCCACACCCTGGTCTGCGGTGCCGGCAGCCCGACTCCGCCCACAGCTCTGGTGTCTGAGAGGTGGGGGCAGGCTGGGGACACGGGGTCCCCACACACCTGGCACAGAGCGGGGCTGCACAGTTCACGTCGACTCAAGTGGTGGAGGGTGGCCGGGCGCTGAGCGAGGACTTGTCAGTGAACACACCGACCCGGCCTGCTGGGTCCCCGCTAGGCAGTGCCGTCCCTGGACACGGGTGCTGTAGCTATGCTGGCCTGCTGCCCAGGCGAAGCCCCGTCTCGCGAGGTGGCGGGCACAGACGGCAGGCTGGGCACCCCCACACCCACCCCTGGGCAAGGGGTCAGCAGAAGGGACAGCTGGGCCGGCTCTGACATTCCCCAGACACACACCATGCTCCTGGGTCTCCTGGGCACTGGAGGAGGGAACTGGGGGCCCAGTCTCCACGGCCCCCCACAACCACCACCGTGGGCAGCCCGGTCCCTCAGGAGACAGTTTCCTCCCGGCACCCTCTCCCCTGCTGCTTTAGCTCCTGGGGAACCCCTCTCGGGAGGGGCTCTCTGGTATGTTCGGTGGAGCATGAATGGGGTGAGGGGGTGATGAGAGAACAGACCGCGCCCCTGACACCTTGAGCCCCCCTGACCTCAGGGGCTAACAGACACCTGTGCCCGGCCCCCCTCCCCCAGGGCTGCCCTCCAGCTTGGCGCTGGTGTGGCCGGTGTGCTGGGGGAGGTCCCTGTGCAGGGGCTGGCGGACTCCAGAGCGAGGGTGGGGGTCTGGGCACCTCCTGACCGGCACAGACACCCAGGACTGACGTGCGCAGAGCATGGCTTTCTGAGACCCGGCCAGCCGGGGGCTTCTGTCATGAGGTCGCAGTGCAGAGGGCATCTCCCTCCGGGCACCCTCTGTGGCGTTACCCCCCCTGTCATCGCCACCCGGGTCCGGATGCCAAGTGGCCCGCGACAGCCCCAGGTGCACGCCCAAGCTGAACCTCCCAGTTCCGGCCTCTCCTTGCTGTTTCCATTTCTCTGGAAGTTTCGTTATGTGGGTGGTCCCTGCTGGCAGGAATCTTAGGTCCCCCTTGTGGGCCACCCGGAGCTCCTGGGGGACACACTGCCCTGGCCCGAGGGGGGGGCGCTCACTCGGGTGACACGCTGGAGCCAGTGCCACGGAGAGGCATGTGGGGAGCAGGCCCGCAGCCAGATGCTAGCACCCCCTCCTGCCGGCACACTGTCCCAGCCCCGACGGGCCCCCGGCCCCTGGACGCCGCTTCCGCAGCAGGCAGGACGGAGCAGGACCACAGCCCGGCACTCACAGGGTCTCCAGACTGTGCAGCCCCTCGAAGCTGTGGGCCCCCAGACGCTGGATCCGGTTGTTGTGAAGGTGCCTGTGTGGGGAGGAGAGACAGGTCAGGCCGGTGCCCGCAGCCCTGAGCCCGGGGTAGGAGCTGGGTGGGGAGCAGATGGTGCGGAGGAAGAAGGCGGAGGCCGAAGTGTGGACAGAATGACCCAGGGGTCCAGCCCTCGGCTCCACGGACACTGTGACCAGCCAAGCCTGACCTCAGAAGCCCCATCTCCGAGGCTGGCCTGACCAGGGGCTACCAGTTTGACTTCCGATGGAAGGGAGGCGGGAGAGGAGCACCCGGCCACGGAGAGGCCTGATTCACAAGGGCCGAGGGGCTCTGGTCGGAGGCTTCCCTTTGGTCCTGCTCCCAGGGCCCAGCCTGCCTGACTCGGTGTCCCAGTGCACTTATGGGAACCAGCAGCCAGCCCCACAGACAACACAGAGTTAAGGGCTCGGTGTCTGTTACAGCTGGGATGGTGCAGACCACCCCAGCGGCGGGGCACCGGCAAGCCCAGAGCAGTCAGGGAGGGCTTTGCGGAGGTGGTGGCCCAGAGCAGTCAGGGAGGGCTTTGCGGAGGTGGTGGCCCAGAGCAGTCAGGGAGGGCTTTGCGGAGGTGGTGGCCCAGAGCAGTCAGGGAGGGCTTTGCGGAGGTGGTGGCCCAGAGCAGTCAGGGAGGGCTTTGCGGAGGTGGTGGCCCAGAGCAGTCAGGGAGGGCTTTGCGGAGGTGGTGGCCCAGAGCAGTCAGGGAGGGCTTTGCGGAGGTGGTGGCCCAGAGCAGTCAGGGAGGGCTTTGCGGAGGTGGTGGCCCAGAGCAGTCAGGGAGGGCTTTGCGGAGGTGGTGGTCCAGAGCAGTCAGGGAGGGCTTTGCGGAGGTGGTGGCCCAGAGCAGTCAGGGAGGGCTTTGCAGAGGTGGTGGTCCAGAGCAGTCAGGGAGGGCTTTGCAGAGGTGGTGGTCCAGAGCAGAGCCTTGGAGGTAGGAGATCTGGATAACCAGTGGGAAGGCAGAGGTGTCAGCAGGCACAAAGGTGCAGGGTAGTGAGGGGCTTTGCCGGGGCACACGGCTGGGAGAGAATTCTGAGATAAAAGGCTCATTGAAAGTAAGCCCCAGAATGTTCTCCAGCTCCTAAGGAGACACACGACACAGCACCGACTCCCGCCGCCACCCCAGCCGTTACAACAGCAGCAACAAAGCAGGAACAGACAGCCTAACGGGAACACATCGAGATGCTGGCGGCAAGGAGCTGACCAGGCAAGAGAACATTCTGAGGATCCTCCCTAAACCCCAAATCTGAAGAGAAGCCGCCCTGTGGACGTCCTTCCGTCTGCGCTGCTTCCAAAGCAAAGGCTCCAGGCCACTGAATCGAGGAGACAGCCTGCAGACACGGGAGTGCCCGAGGACAGCGTGACTCGGACATTTCACAACTCGTGTGTGAGACTGGACACCTCCTCCCAGCACCCCACCCCCTCCACTGGGGCTCGGGCACGCGAGGGAACTCAGTGTACCCACAAGACGAGCCCACAAACTGTAGGTTGGAGTGGGGAATTCAGGGACCAGGGGTGACGCAGCTGGAACAAGTAGACAGTGATTCAAGCGTAGCCCCAAAAGGGGACCCACAGCGATGATGAAACGGAGCGGAGACTTGTGGATGCACACAAAGGCCAAGGTGGGAGCCCAGAAAATGCACCTTGGATGAGAACACAAGGGAACCATCCCATAAAGCAATTTCAAAGACAAAAAAATTTACTTTTAATCCTCACCCAAGTATATTTTTCCATTTATCTCAGAGTGGGAGGGAGGGAGGGAGAGAGAGAGAAACATTGACTGGTTGCCTCCCGCACGACCCGACCAGGGCCGGGGATGAACTGCAACTGAGATACGTGCTCTCGACAGGAATCGAACCTGTGACTCTTGGGTCCGGGGGCGCACGCTCCAATCGCTGAGCCAATCCAGCCAGAGCTCAACGATAAAATTTTTAAAGTGAAAGACAAATGACATCATAAACTAAGGAAACAAATTGAGGACCAAACGACACCATTAGAAACTCGTCGATCAATTTGAAACAACTACGTAGACACCACTGTAAACCGGACTCAGAAAGGGGAGGTGACCTCGGTGTCCAAGGCTGATTGAGACCCACGGGCGAAAACAGTCATGGGGGACACTGAAGAATCCAGGGGACAGCGTAGAGGTCACTGGGGCTCTGAGGGAGGGATCCCCCGGGGACCGAAGATGACTTCCGAGATGTAACACAAAAGAACTCTGTCTCTCAGCTGAGGAAAGACTAGAATCTGCACCTGAAGAACCTGCATTGTTCTCGGGATCCACACAATGTCTGAGATTAAACAGGGCTCCAGGCAGAAGAGAAATCACCCACAAAGGGAAGAGGTGGGCGAACCTCCCGGTGTTGTGCAAGACCAGGCGGGTGCGGGGGGGCGACCTGCCCAGCACCAGCCAGGGCCTGCGGGTCCTGCACGTCCCCATCCTTGTCATCTGCTCCACCAAGTCCCAGCCAGGGACAGACCCCTCCCAGAGGGAGCTTCTGTTTTAATGAAAACACACTACCCACCTTCTAGGCAGAAACCCCGGGTCCGTGTGTCCCAGGTCCTCCTGCCTCCTGGTGAACTCGGCCATCATTCTCCACCCTTCCCCGCGGGCACCCTACACTCCTGTGAGGCGAGCGCCAGCCCTCTGGGCAGGTGTCCCACGACCCCACGAGCTGCCCTTGCCCATACTTCTCCTGCTATCTCCACTAGACTGTCAGCCCTGGACGGCAGCACTGTGCCCCACACCCCATGACTCTGCCGTGCCCCCATAGGCACCCGTCACCAGGCCCTCCCTGTCCAGTCCGCCTGACCCCACTCCCTCGGGATGCCGACAGGGTATCACCGAAGCTGGACTCGAACCCCTGCGCTGTTCACCCTCTGCGAGTCCCACCTGCCTCCCAGGAGGGACGCATGGCCACCCTGGCACCAGGGTGTGGCTGTGAGGCTGTCCATCCAGGTCCTCTGGGCTCCAGGACACAGAAACACACAGACGCCTTGGTGTGTGCTTCTCCATCAGATTCCCGGGAGCGGGGTCCCCCCCCCCCACGTTCCCGCAGCAATTAGTTTGGAACCCGGAGCAAGCCCTCGGTAATTACCCTGTGAACTCACAGCAATTAGCGGGGAGCTAATTTGCCTTCACTGCTCCCACCTGGAAAGGCAGCGCTAACCCCCCCCCCCCCCCCCCCCCGCCCGATTCCTGCCAGGGATACGATCTCCCAGGTAATGACCCCGCAGGGCGGGCTGGCTAATTACTGGCAATGGCTTCTCTGCTTCTCCAGGCCTGGGAGGCCCGAGTGTGCCCTCTCCCTGGGCCAAAGCATCAGCCTGCAGCGCCAGGTTGTCAGAGGTGGTAGAAACCAGTGAAGAAACCCTTGACTCACTCGCCCACTCGCAAGGCGCAGTTGCCGTATTCTCCCAGTGAGAACAAAATAGCTGAGCTCGGGCTTCTGCTCACGGTGCTCCGTCCCCAGGGCCCTCCTCCAGCTCCAGTGTTATCTGGCCTCAGGACACCCCGCGGGGTCAGCAGGGCAGGGTCCCCCTTGATTTTGCAAAGGGGCCTCAGAGCAGGAGGCTGAGCAGCAGACGGAAGAACAGAGCCGCGGCGCGGAGGGGCCTGGGGCAGAGGCACTCACAGCACCACGAGGCTGGTGAGGTTCTCGAAGGCGTAGTCGGGCACGTGGCCGATGCGGTTGAGGGCCAGAGTCATGGCCTGCAGGGCAGGGAGGTTGTTGAGGGCCCTGACGGGGACCTCACGCAGGGCGTTGTCGTCCAGCCACAGGTGGCGGAGGCAGGACAGCCCCTCGAAGCTCCTCTCTGGCACCAGGGTGATGAGGTTGGCATCCAGGCGCCTGGAGGGAGAGAGGGTGGGGAGGATCAGACACAGCCAGGGCATGGGGCTGGGCAGCACGGGGCAGGGCACCAGGACCCCAACAGGCTCCGAAGTGCCCTGGGACTGTGGTTTCGACCTGCCCTCAGGATCCCGTGTCCCCTCTGCACAGTCCCAGGTCCGCCTTCATTCTGGCCCATGGCTCCTGCGCCTTCCTAGGGAACCAACTCTTCCTCCCAGGCCCAAGGTGAACCCACAGCCCGTAGCCAGTATTCCCTACACCCGGGCTTCCATAGCCCCCCTGCTCTGGCGGGTCACCCTTCTTTATTTTTATAAAAAGTTTTTTCTATATTGATTTTAAAGTGAGAGGAAGAGAGAGGGAGAGAGAGAGAAGCATCAATGAGAGAGAACACCCACTGGCCGCCTCCTGCACGCCCCCCACTGGGGACGGGCCCAGAGCCTGGGAATGTGCCCTGACCGGGAATCAAACCAGCGACCTCTTGGTCCAAGGTCGATGCTCCACCACTGAGCCCCACCGTCCGGGCAGGGTCACCATGCCCCCCCCCTGTCCACTCCACGGCCACAGAATGAAGCTGTTCTGCCACCGACAGAGGGAAGGCCCTCCCTCTGGACCTAACCCTAGAAATGCTCCTGAAAATGCAGCCTCTGCCCCTCGCCCTCACCCAGCCCCAGCCACCTGCCCCTCGTCCCTCCAGCACCCAGTAGTTGGACGGGGCTCCTCGCTCAGCTGATGGCCTGAGGAGGGCCCCTGGGTGCCACCACTGAAGTCCCTGACGCACCCCTTTTCAGAACACAGGGGCGGTCCCTGTGCATGGCCACAGGTTGCAAGCTGATGTGGGGGTTCTGGTGGGGGTTCTGGAAGATCTTGGCAGCCTGGCAGAACCAGGAATCCGCCCGTCTTAGCCTGAGGGGTGCCCAAGCCGATGTCCTTCATCACCAGGCTCCCCTCTCTGCCTCCAGGTCTGGAACCCCACCATGCTGCCCAGCTGGGGCCACGGGGACCAGACCAGCTGGCCTGTCATTTCCTGTTTATCTGAATTCCAAATTTAACTGGGCGTCTTCCCAAATATTGCACAGGACATACTTATACCAAAGACGATGTGTTCTTTCTCTGAAATTCACATTTAAATGATCACCATGTGTTTCATGGGCTGACCCCCGCCCAGGGAAACGCCTGGACTCCCTGCTCACCCCGAAGACATTCAGGCCCGGCCCATTTCTGCGTGTGCTCCCCCCTTCATTCTCCAGGTGGCTCACCCCCTCTGACCCGAGGCTGTCCCCAAGCATCAGACTTGCCTCACTGGGCCCCTCTCTCCTGCCTCCCTCCTCCCCTTCCCAACCCCCCAGCCCCTGCAGTGGCCGCTCTCTGGTTCCCCGCCTCCCCTCTGCTTGGACCTCTCCCCACCTTCTCCCTGACCTCCAGCCCAGCGTGGTCCCCTCCCTGCACACTGCTCCCCACCATCTGCCGAGCCCTTCCCAATCTCTCCCTGCCCCTGGCTGATGGGGAGCTCTCTGAAGAAGCTCCCCACCTCCTGAGTTGGGGTTCAGGCTGCCCTGTGGTCCCTGGTCCTCTAGGGTGGGTGGGACAGGAGCCACTTGGGACTAAAGACGTTTGGAGCCGCTCCCGCCTGCAGGTCGGACAGCGGCCCAGACGGACCTGGTTTGGCAGGAAGAGCAGAGCAATTACACCAATTAAGCCCTGGAATAAAGTCAGCAACCCCCAGCCCTCCTCTCCCCACGTGGGCAGAGGCTCCCGTGGTTTCTGATGACCTTCCTCACCGGTGCCCACAGGGCAGGTGAACAGGGACCTCACCTGTGCCCACAGGGCAGGTGAGCAGGGCCAGTCGGAGCCCAGGCCAGTCGGAGCCCAGGATCCAGCTCAACCTCTCTAGGCACAAACCACCCCCCCCACCCCACCCAGGGCTCAGACTGAGGCAGGGAGGGTGGTGGCCTCGTCCCTCCATGTCCCCAGGGGCAGGTGGTCAGAAGGTCTCGCCATAGACACCCCAGAGAGCGGAGAGATGGGCCCCACTTGACTAACATGAGCTGAGGACCTGACAGGCAACAGCAGCAGGAGAGAGCTTGGTCAAACAGTGACCCGACCAGGACCCAGAGAACAGGGCTGCAGACTCAGAACCATGTTCTATCAGAATCCAAAGGGGGCTCTTCCCTCTGAACCCCTCTCCAGCTCTGAGCCCCAGGAGGGGACATGATTACAGGGAGAGGTCCCCAGAAGCAGAGGCTCCCGTGAGGACGGGTGGGCCTGACGGGGCCCCATGGGAATCCCCAGCTCGTCCCACTGGGGCAGTGCGGGTGTGCGGGGTGCCCCACCATGCGCCCTCATCCTGGGAGGCACCAGAGAGTCCCTGTCATCTGCGGGGGTCTGCAGAGTGTCAGGAGGCCCTGCTGGTTCAGATGCTGGAAGTTCAGGGGGGAGCCCTGCCCAGCGTCTATCCTGGGACCCTCGATGCTCCAGCCCCACCCCACCCTGGCGCCTCCCTCCCCACGAAGCCGCTCTCCACCAGGCCCCCGAGCAGGATCCTGGGGAAGCCTTTGTTCACAAATGATTAAGGGTTTCACGGTGACAACAGCGGAGCCTAGACCTTCTGAGCGCAAGGCCCCTTGTAACTAACTGTGGGCTGCAGCCGCCTCTGCTCGGGCTCATAGAGCCTCCAGGCTTCAGGCCTGCCCTCCTCCTCCCCACTGTGAGTGTGAGATTAAGACGGGGTGGGGGCCTTGGTAGGTTTGGCTCAGTGATTAGAGCATCGGCCCATGGACCAAAGAGTCGTGGGTTCGATTCCAGTCAAGGGCACGTACGTAGCTCGGTTGTGGTCCACCCCTGGCCCTTGTTGGGGTCGTGTGGGGTCGGTGTATCTCCCTCACATCAATGTTTCTCTCTCTCTCTCTTTCCCACCCACCCTTTCTGAAAATCAATGGAAAAATATCCTTGGGTGAAGATTTATTTACTTATTTATTTTCATCCTCACCCGAGGACATTTTTCCATTTTTTTGTTCAGATAGAGTGGGAGGGAGAGAGAGGAACAGAGAGAGAGAGAGAGAGAGAGAGAGAGAAACATCGACGTGAAAGGGACACATCGAGTGGCTGCCACCCGCACGACCGACCAGGGACGGGGACAAACTGCAACCGAGGTACGTGCCCTTAGCAGGAACCGAACCCGGGTCTCTCTGGACCGCAGGCTGACGCTCTAACCGCTGAGCCAAACCGGCCAGGGCCTTGGGTGAGGATTTAAGCAAAAGAAGAAGGGGTGGGGGACCGGTGCCCCGTTAACTGGCTGCCCGCCAACCCAGCCCCACCCCCCCGTAGGCACACAGCTGAGTCTCACGGGGAAGGAGGAGGAGAGGGTGGGTGGAGAGCAGGCAGGGTGAGGGGAGAATACTGAAAGTGGAAAAAAGCAGCCACCATGGAAATGGCTATTCTGTGGGGAATGTTCCAGGTGGGAGCCGTCGGTTGCCTGGAGGACCCACAGCCCGACCGGCCGGCCAGGGAGGGGGAGGTCCCAGCAGGAGCAGGTTGGCACCTGCAGAGCCCAAGGAGGTGCCCGCCTCCCACAGGCAGGGGCTCAGCCTTCCGTACCAGGTCCCTCCCCGACTCGGGTGCCTCCACACACCGGAGCCCCCATGCTGCCCTCGAGGAGGGCCCTCTGCTGCCCCCCAATCCCTCCCACCCCCGCCAGGGCACCTGACATGCCCTCATTACTGGGGATCATCCCTTCGGTTTTCATTCACTCGACCGGGCGTAACCCACTGAGGACTCAGCACCTGCCGTCAGGCCTCTGCTGTGCTCCGTTCTGGTCAAAGTGCACAACACGGCCCCTCCCCGGAGGCGCTCAGACTCCTCGCCGTTTCACTGATCAGTATGGAGCCTTAGCTACCACGGAAGAGCCAGCTGATTCCAGGGGTGCTAAGCACTTGCCACACATTTCCTTTACTCGCCCCCCAGGCTCACGCAGCAGGGAACGCGTCACCCACGCCGCATGCAGAGAAGGGGGCTCCGGGACAGACGGACATGACGCAATGCACCTGCCCTCGCTGTGAAGGTGAAGACACAAGCCGCCCATTGTGGTTCCGTGTGTGCTGTTCCATCCGTTTTGATTTATGCCACCTGATCAGCCCCCCTCACTGTCAGCCTTTCAACAGATCAAAGGTGGGATGTGAAAACACAGGCAATTCCAAGTGGCTCTCCAGGCCCAGCCCCTCCCCTCTGCCCAGGCATTGATGGCAGAGAAAACCCTTCCTCTCTGCACATCAAAGGGTGACACCTGAGCACCTCCCAGCCCTTCCTTGTGTCTTAATCGGCAGCAATAAATAAAAATAATTACCCTCCCTCCAGGAAGAAGGCACAGAGGAGACTCTGTGTGCAGCCTTTACGAGCTTCCCCTGAAGACACAGACCCACGGATCTGGGCAGGACGCCAGCTCTGTGGGTGACAGTCCCGGAATCCTGGGGTGGGGACCACAGAAAGCCATCTCATCCACCCCCAGCCTCCAGACATCCGACTCCTAAGTCAAGCTCGCTCCTGGGCCGTCTGAGCTGTGTCCGAGCGCCGGGTCTGTGGTTCCTTGGGCCTGGACGCCCGCCCTTGGCAAAGGGCAGTGTGGCTGGTGGAGGAACAGGCAGACGAGGGTTTTCCCAGTCTGCCTGTCCACAGGGGGGCGGTGATGTCAGAGGGTTAGGAAATGTAAGCAACTTCCCGGGTTTTAGAGCCTTCCCAGCAGGCTCTGTAGTCAGGGGTGCCAGGGGAAACCAAGCCACATGTTAACACTTTTAAAGGTACCACCGGGGGAGGGAGGGGGGGGAGGAAGAGTCCTATCAGTCTGTCTTCCTTAACCTGGCCTTCCCAGGGCCTGTTCCTCCTCCTCATTCCCAGGGTCTGGGGCTCCCTGTGGGCCAGAATGAGAACTGGGGAGGTTCCAGCTGTGTCGTAGGAATCCTGTCCTCCCAGCCTCCCTCCCGTCCATCCATCTGTTCATTCATCTATCC